CCCCAGACAGGGGTGTTTTATAAATAGTCTTAATTTATATTGAATTTAGTGAATATGTGATTTCATATGTCATGGTATTTTGGTAAAAAGAAATCCAAAACAATGTATCTAGCTCAGGTTGAGCAAGACAATCAGAAGTTCAAGGCCAACCTAGGCTATAGGAAGATGTTTCCTCAAAACAAAATAGGTAGTGTGAATATTGCATTTTAGTAAACATATCACTTAAATTTTTATATTATATATTTATAGTTTTTTCAAAGTTGAGATCTTATGTGATCACACAACTCTGGTCAAAAATGCATCTTTAACATGAAAGAGAGGGTTATTTGGCAATGGCTACCTTAAGGTAGTTACATGATATTTCTGAAACTGCTGGTTATGGGAAACTGCCAGTAGCACAAATATTTAGGATTTTCTGTTGTTGGACTCAAATGCACAAAGTCAGAATCAGCTCAGTATTGTTCAGGTTGAATAATATTTGAACATTAGCAATCTCTCACCAAAACTGTCATCATTCATTGAACATAACCTGCTTTATGTCTCTCAAAATGGGATTAATAGAGTGAGCACATGATACGGGAGGTCTTGTCACTAAAGCAGATTATAGCAGCATGCAATGTGGTTTATCAGTGGTCCTCCTCATAGGATAGCAGAAAGGCTGGCATCAAACCAGGATGCTCAGTAAGGTTAGCTATGGCCACCATCATCTACTTTGCAATGCTATTTCATGTCACATCGTTGTAAACCTCTAACTCATATAAGGATCTCCTCTCTCTTATTTTGGATCTGTTGTGTAAGGACCACTATAAACGAAGGGATGAAATGGAGGATGGGATGAGGCATAATCATCTGGATATACATTTTTGCAAAGGGAAGGGTTTCTTGGAACTTCCACCTTCATTGCTATTAAATTTATTTTTCTTTGATAATAAATACTTTCCGAAGCAGATTGAAAGTAAGCAAACAAAAAAAGTGGCAAATGGAAGCCTTCTACAGCTGTCTGGGCAGAGACCCAGGTGTAATCCTGTGTGTACACATCAGTGGTTTGTCTCAGAATCATCTCTTCTAGTCATTTTTTTCTTTTTGTCTTCTGGGTATGTTAGACCATTATTTTCAAACTCAGTAAACAGAGCATTCCGGTTTCATAGATGAAACTCAATAAATCAAGACAACATTATTAGAAAAGAGAGAGCTACCCAACACAGTGTTAAGCCTCACAAATTTTTATCAAACTCATCATCACTTCTGATTCAGAATTCTCTTAAAGTAACCTTTCAAAATGCACACTTTAGCCTAGCCAATGACATGAAGTTTAATACATGGCTGCTCAGAGTTTGGGGGAGGGCGACAGGACAGAGTTTACAAAATTAATATATATGTATATGTATATTTTTAATCAAAAGAAACATACATTCATTTCTAATTCATATAGCCTATTTGCCTTCATAGTCAGCTCACACATACCAGGGTTAAACATTGCTTATGAAATTAAATAACATGAAAAAATAAATATACTTTATTATATAAACACATAGAACTCTGTACCACTCAAAACATTCAGAAATATGTAGATGTGGCTGCTTAAAACTATTCTTTAGCAACATGGTTGTGATATTTATAATCTTCTTTTCTAGTGATATAATGAGGTTGTAAAACACTGATGTCAAACATCTTCTCTTTCTACCTATAGGGACTGCACATTGTGGTATGAAAATGAGGTAGACACAAGTACTTAAGTTTACCAGGCTGAAACAAAAGCATAGCTCCCTCGCAAGCTCATAAACTCTCATTATTCAGGTTGGAAAGCACAGGCCTCAAAGGCTCAGAGAATGCATATAGAGTTGTCATGGAAATGCCCATCAAGCAATTTCTGCAAAGAAGAACCATCTCCAGGATGATCAGCAAACAGAAATACAGGACTTTGCAAAATGAAATGTCACCAAACTGTCCTGCAAATGTGGCATTGGCAGTGACACCACTTTCTTCTTCTAGGTGGATTAGCTCAGTTTAGAATGCTCCTGACTTGTAAGACATTTCTTACTTCACCTTGACAATAAAGAGTCCTCTTTCTAGTTTGTCCCATTTGCCATGGGATAAGTGTATTTGGTATCCAGTGTGCTCTAGGACTGACTTAATAGCTCAACAGAGCTAAAGAACATTGTTTCCCAAATAAAACAATACTAAGAATCCAAGGACATTATTTTTAAATCGCCAGAAAGGACGTTTTTGTGGAATATTTTTCTCAATCTTTTTTTTTTTCTTGTTGTTTGTTTTTGAGACAGGGGTGTTACTCTGTAGCTCTGGCTGTCTGGAAACTTACTATGGTCTCAAACTAGAGGTGATACTCCTGACTGAGACACTGCAAACAGTGTTACAACCATGATTCATAGATCTGGGCCAGAACCTGTGGTCTCTCAGAACCTGTGGTCTCTCTAAAAGTGTCATTTGAATCTTAAATTCAAAGAAGCTTCATTGTACAGACTCTGAAGCTTGTACCAACAATGACCTGGGGGTTTCCTTCTCAAATACTGCTCCTTCCCAGGCAGCACTGACGTAAGCTGTCTCCACTTGACCTTGGTTGTGTCACAGAGCAGTAGTTACTCTGTGAGACAGCAGTGTCTATGTGTGGGAGTTCCCTGGGAGCAAAAGCAACCCACAGGAGGAGTCTGTTACCACTCTGGTCTCTTGTCAGTCTAAGCTGCTTTCTGGTGAAGCAAGACGTTAGCACCTCAAAAGCATTATATTTTTCTTTTGTAGTCTTGTTAACTTCACTGTAGTTACAATGGTAAAGCACCATTAAAAAAGACTTTATGGCTAGAAACGGGAGTCACTGAGGTATGCCAAAATGTAAATACCTAAGGCATTATACCAGAGCATCCATGTAAATAAACATAAAATCAGAAATCAAAATCCTACAGCAAGAGTCTGAATGATTGCTCTCTCACATGTACATAAAATTAATATAGTTAAGTTACCTATCTACTTAAATAAAGCACTTTTGACTTAATTCTTCAAAAAAAACAATCACAGTTAAAAGTCTTATAAAAGTGGCCTCTCTCTTAAGACAGTAGAATTGAAATTTAAATCAAACAAACAGTAGCTTTATGAGATTACATAGGCAGTGAAGCTAGGTTTAAAATCCATAACCTACATATGCCAGAACAAAGAAATTTTAATCTCCTTTCTTCTTCTCTTATAGATTAGATGATTGTATGCAGCCCCAAGAAGAACAGCAATATTAAATATACTTTTCAGTTCAAACAATCAGCAGCTTATACTTAAAATTTTAAACTATTAAATTATCAATAGGGGATATACTATATTCAAGGAAGAGAAGAGAAAACAGCATATATATGTATGTACACACACATACATATGTGTATATTCATACATATATATACACACATATATATACAAGCAGATATATCCCCAACAGTGTATTTTTAACACTATGAATATATTTTTTCCATTTTCCTAAACAATTTATTTTAGAAAAATATGGGATAATCTAAGGGTTAAAATCTAGAGAAGGAAAACACAGATTTTTTTTTTTCTTCATCAAACTACAAGACTATGTAATAAAGAGGCTTGTAAGGTTCTCACAGAGGCCTAACCAGTGACTTTAGAACTAGTGACATACTTCCTGTGAGAGTGTGAATGGACTTGGAAGAATTAGCTCTGGGTGAGTGAACATGCCACGGGCTTGAGAAGGAACATTTCATGGACAGTAGTATGTGGCAGTGACAGAGAGAAGTTGGGGCTTTCAAAGAACATCCTGCCTATCTTAAGGTTACCTCAAGCTCTTTCAAAGTGTACACTTGGAAAAAGGTACCAGTGTGGTAGACAAAATATCCTTAGAGAACCATAGACGGGACACTGTAACTTTACTTAAACTCTGGGATAAAAATCCCACAACCCAGCCAAGGAGCACAGTCCAGCTCCTGCTTCGACTTCTAGCTCAGTTGAGTACAGAGCCTTGCAACTAGGTTATAGAACCAGTCTCCGCAGATGCAGCCACAGATGCTGAAACCCTTGCCTTGGAGAGGGATCAGTGGGTGTCAATCACACTACTTCAGTTAATCTGCTCTTCACCTGGCACTAGGAATGAGTAAGAGCTTCCCAGGACCCCACTGAATAAAAAGGGCTTCTGAATGACTTTATATAATAGCTGATTTCAGCTTCACTGCAATTAATGTGCTTATAGGAGTATTTACTATACTTACATGCATCAGACCTACTGGCTCCATAATTTTTGCCACAGCTTAGCTAAGGTATTGTGTTGACATGGTTAATCTTTCTGTTTACTTAGAACTGCCTCAGAAGTTTGTATAGTATTTACAGTGGCAAACCTGCTTTACCATCTCAGCTACTGGCTATGGAAAAATAGGAGCAAAGTAAAAAATGGTCTCAGATGGACTACCTGTCTGGGGGCAGGGAATAGACTCCAGTTACCTCAGAAGATATTGGGTCATTGATTATTACTCTGGAGAATAATAATAACGATAGCAATAATAATTAATCTCCTGAATTTCCAAAATGACTAGTCTATTGGTGGGTATAGACTTCCTGTTGATTGTGCTAAGGTATATCCAAGTTTCACAAAAGCAAATGATAGTCACTGAAGAAAAAAAGTTGCCTGGCCTTCAACAAGTAGGAACCTTACTCCAATAGTCAGAACTACCACAACTTAGAAAGTGAAGATTGACTGCTACTAGCTGTTTCTCTAAATCATTAGCAATGTGCACACATACAGCTCTTCTAGGCACAGGAAACTATGTCTTGGTGCCATTCCTGCATGAGGTATATGTTTTCTATAAAGTCACTTTGGCAGTGTCAATTCTACTATGCTATACCAGGGAGAACGTAACAGGGCACTCATAGCACAGTATCTAGTGTGCCTTCGTGGGCGCGACAGTTCTTGGCTATGAAGGCATGCCCCAGGATACTCCTAACAATTGTCTCAGAGCTTGGGGAACAAACATGAAGCATTAGGGCCGTACCGAGCTCCATGGGCCAGTACTCCACGCAGCATCTTGTGGGCAAGCGTGTGTGTTGCACTGCTCACGGTCAGGAGGTTTGTCGAGGACTTCACAACTCAAATCTGGGAAGCGGTCACCATTGGCCCGCTGACAGACCACCAGTCTTGTCCGCATGCCTCCACCACACAGCTTGGTACACTGGAAGAGGGACAAAGAATGCTACAGTTATTTTGTGTGAATAGCACATGACAGATTCTATTTCCCCACAGGAAATTTTTCTTGTCTACACTCTATTCTAGTATTGAGGCAGCTTAAGTCTGACAGGGAGAGCCAAGGCAAATTGCCCCAATGATACAGCCAACGGACCATGGTTCCTCCTGTGAACATTACATATCCCTCAGTGAGGGCTTCCTTTCATCTGTAATAAGGACTTTTGTATCTCTTACCTCATGAGGTTGAGAACACAGTTACTTGCCTCATATATAATAAGCTGAAGATTGGGAAGTTAATCAATCTCAATCCATTAACCAGTAGCTAAGATAAAATTCTTTGAGGTATACAAAACCCAGTAAATAAATAAGTAACTAGAAACAACCCAATATTAAATAAAGCAATGATGGCTTGGTCAGTTTTATTTTAGTTAATGGCAGTTGATAATTTCTTTCTTTGGTTTTTGTTTTGAGACAAAGTCTCACTGTACAGTCCAGGCTGGTCTGGAACTCACTGTAATCCAGATTGGCCTCTTGCCTCAGCCTCCTGTGGGCTGAGATTACAGACATGAGAAACCAGGTCCAAGTTCAAGTTTTATTTTTAAATGTTGCTGGATATTTAATCCAAGGACTGAGTTTTACACAAACCAGCATGTTCCAGCAACTTCTATGAAGCTGTCATGGATGAACCTTTGCTGATTCTCTTATTCCAATTCTAATGCTCAACTGTTTAACTCTATTTCAAACCTCAGGACAAGTGCAGTTTCCCCCCCCGGGATGGCAATCAGCATAGCAGCAGTGAACACTAGCTGAAGTTCCCACTGCTGGCAGAATTCACAGTTGTGAGACAGGAACAAGTTGTGTTTCTTGGACAGCACTGCTGTGCTCATATCCAGGAACACAGACATCCAGTGTCCCTGCTGCGTCAAGGCCAGCTCTCCCACAACATGTGGAAGGGTCAGCCCATGCTAACAAAAGCATAGCAGCAAAGGCATCCACTCACCTGGCTTGGATCCAACTACAGAAGCCTAATTATGGATCCCACAGGACAAACTGCACAGAGTGTTGGGAAGACTCACATCAAACCTTCCCCCCTCCTCTTTCCTTCCTTCCCTCCCTCCCTCCTTCAGCAGCACTACACAGAATGACATCAGTGAGAGGCAACAAAAATGCCCACAACAACTGCCTGTGACTTCTAGGTTATGTGTATGAACTGATGAGACACAAGACTGTGGACTAGCGTGACCATCTTCTCCTATGGTTTTTTTTTCCTAGTGCTGGGCTCTCCCAGGTGTCAACGTTCAGGCTTTAATTGGAAAACAGTCATGACAGAACAACTCAACGAACTTTAAGTATGTGCTTTTCTTACAGATTCAACAATAGAGAAAGATTTTGATTAACAAAAATATGTATGTAAGTCCCATTATGAAATATAACAGGAGCACAAAACTCCCAACAACACTACTATTAATGCATATCACTCTTTCTATTAATAAGGTAAGTTATTATTGCATTATTATAGTATCACTTGATTGATTGAAGTCTACATGTGAAGCATTAATAGATGCTGTCTCATATAATAGTCATAAGTATTATGCAGGTGGTGCTATTACTATTCCAGTTTATAGATGATGATGTGAGAATTAGGGTAAGTTATTACTTGTAACTATCACAAAACTGATAAAGGTCATAGCTGGGTCCAGCCAGATTCCGCACATCCTGAGCCATGATGGGTCTAGCGAGATGAGATTTGATGCTTCCCTCCATGCCCTTTCCTCAACTCCCCAGCTCTAGCCAAAGTTCTACAACCAGTGCCCTGGAAAATTCCGGCACCCCAGCTTGTGTGGCCTTCAACCTCCAGGCATATAGAGAAAGAAATCATGGATACACACCCATTCACAATAGCCTCAAAGAAAATAAAATATTTAGGCATAAACTTAATCAAGGAGGTAAAAGACCTCTACAATGAACACTTTAAGTCTCTGAAGGAAAAGATAGAGAAAACACTGGAAAATGGAAAGACAAACCATTACCATGCTCATGGATTGGTAGAGTTAGTATTCTCAAAATGATCATTTTGTCAATTCAGTACAATCCCAATCAAAATCACAGAAATTAAAAACCACCATCACCACCACCAACAAAAATGATACCAAAGAAAGCCTGAATAGCAAAAATAGTCTTGAACAAAAAGAACAATGCAGGAGAGATTATCATTCTAGACATATTACATTCTATATTCTAGACCTCAAGACATATTACAGAGCCATAGTAATCAAAACAGTAAGAGACTTGCCTTAGTTAGGTTTTTCTATCGCTGTGATAAAATACTACGGCCCAAAGCAACAAGGGTTAATTTCATCTTACACTTCCTGGTAACAGCTCATCACTGAGGAAAGTCAGGACAGGAACTCAAGGAGGGCAAGAAGTTGGAGGGAGGAACTGAGGCACAAACCATGGCTTGCTCTCAATGGCTTACTCAACTTGCTTTCTTTTATAGCCCAGGAATGGGCTATAAGTGGTGCCAAGGAATGGTACCACTTACAAGGGTCTGGGACCTCTAACATCAATTACTAAATAAGAAAATGCTTCACACACTTGCCTACCAGCCAGAGGTTTTTTGTTGATGTTTTTTTTTTCTTTTGGAATATTCTTAATTGTGGTTCTCTTTTTATAGCTAACTCTAGCTTGTGTTAAATTGACAAGAAAAAACCAGCAAGGACCAAAGTGCTGGTGTAAACACAGACATATAGACCAATGGAACAAAACTGAAAACCCAAATATGGGCACACTTAATTAAAGTCAGCTAATATCTGACAAAGATTCCAAACACATATACTGAAGAAAAGAAAGCATCTTCAACAAATTGAGCTGGGGAAACTAGATGTTCATATGAAGAAAAATGAAATTAGACCCATATGTATTACCTGGCACAAAAACTAAGTCCAAATGGATCAAAGAGCTCATTGCAAAACCTAAAACATGGGTATAGGATATAGGTGTAGGGAGGGACTTTCTTAGCAGGAGCAAATTTGCCCAGGTCTTGAGGGCAACAACTGGCAAGTGAGACTTCACAAAACAAAAAAGCTCTGTACAGCAAAGGAATCAGTCTGTAAAGTGAAGAGGAATCTCACAGAATGGGAAAGACTCCTTGCCAGCTATATAATAAGACAGAGAATTAATATCCGTAGTACATAAAGAACTCAAAGTACTAAGAAGAGCTAAAGTACGATGGCTCATTAAAAATAAAACAACTAGGATGGGGATCTGAACAGAGAGTTCTTTTAAAAAAGAAAAAAGAAATGGCTAGGACATAAATCAAAAATGTTCATTATCCATAACAATTAGAGAGTGAAAATCAAAACAATGTTGAGATGTCATTTACCCCAATGAGAATGGCAAAGACCAACTAGACAACCACCAACAAATACTGGAGGAATTTGAGGGAAAGGAAGCTCTCATTCACCACTGATAGGACTGCACAGTGGTCCAGCCACTATGGAAATCAGTGTGGGAAATACTCAAAAAGCTAAAAATAAAGCTAAAAATGACCCAGCTATACTTCTCTTTGGCATATGCCCAAAGGATTGGACATCCTACTCTGCAGATACTTCCTCAGCCATGGTTGCTGTGGCTCTATTTGTGATAGCTAAGAAATGGAAACAACCCAAGTGTCCTTCAACTGACAATAGATAAAATGAAAATATGGAACATATACACTATGAAATATCAGAGAGGAAAATGAAATTGTTAAATTTTCAGGTAGATAGGATGGAACTACCAAAGAACATATCGAATGAGGTAACCCAGACCCAGAGAGACAAATGTCACTTGTTTTCTGTCTAGTCTGAGTTTCCTAAAAGAGACAGTAGGGTTCAGGGGGGCAGTCGAGACAGGAGTAGTAGCAGTGTACAAATGATTTGAAAGGAGAGATGGGGGGAAGGGAGGCTCCTTCATTAGGGAGAGGAGAAGGAGATAAAGGGAAAGTGGAGGAGAGTAAGCTAGTAAAGATGTATGGAAAAATCATAGGAATCATTATTTATCTACCTAACATTACATATAATATTGATAAGTCTGTGTATACATATACATATATAGTTACATGTATTGTCTGGGCTGAGAAGCTTTTTTTTTTTTTTTTTTTGTAGGGTTGGGAGTTTCTCTGTGTAATAGTCCTGGCTGTCCTGGGCTCACTTTGTAGATCAGGCTTGCCTCAAACTCAGAGAGATCCACCTGTCTCTGCCTCCCAACTGCTGGCCTGAGAAGCTTTCTTTTGAGTTGCTGGTCAGAGTTATCTAAGAACTTCAAAACATAGGCTATTGCTGTTGCCCTTGATGCCTCCCTGAGATGGAAGGTAAGTTACTATTGCTGAATACACTATGTGTTTCAGAAACACGATCCAGAGCTAGTTCTGACCTCAAAGCTTCCTCCATGAGGACTATCTTTCATGGTACCAGAAGGTGCCACGCAAGCTTCCAAGAAACCAAAAGTCCTACCCAGCTATGACGCCTATGTATTAAAAGAACATCCAGCATGAAAATATCCCTAAAGGAGCAGTAGTGGCATGCATACGTTGGTGGTAACCAACAGCTCTATACCAGGACTCAACAAAAGGGAAATCATACATGGTACTGAAAACATAGCTAACTACCTGAGGCTAATGAACTTGTGGTCTTGGAGGAGAACCTAAAGCCACCACTTTACTAAGATTGCATATTTCTCAAATTGATTCTAAATATTTATCCTTATACCCACCATCAAAGAAATATCTCTTTGCAACCACCACAGAAAACCACAATTGTTCAAAATGCAGGGAACAAGTGGCCATATGATACCTAGCCCAAATGAGCTATAATGTAACCCATGCACATATGGATATATATATTCCTAATATATTATCCCAATAATTATCCTAATAATATATCCTAATTTGCTGATATATATATCAGCAATTAAAGAAAGCCAGATCATGCTTTTGAGAGAGAACAAAGGAGTGCAGGGGAAGGGCTGGAGTGAAAAGGAAAGGGAAGTGGAAAAAAATTATATCTTTAATTATATCTTAGTTAGAAAAAGAGAGAATCGCAGTCAGGAAGTGGACCTGTTTTTATGCACCCCAAACACCATGTTAGCCTTTATCAGGAAAAGTAGGCAATTCTGCAAAGCTAACAGTCAAAGAGATCTTTATTGGAGCATGGAGAATATACAGCTCATCATTTAATTAGTGTCATCTGTGATAAGAATAACACCCGTTTTGGTTTTGTACAGAATTTGAAACTTTGAAAGGTACTCTGCTATTGGGGACGAGTGCCCCCCAAAACTATAAGAATAATGGCAAGAATCCCATGGTTACTTTAACACGTGCTTTCCACCCCTTATAAGCATTCTTTTTTTTTTTTTAACATTAGAGGTTATCAACAACTTAGATTTATGCACAATCTTTCCTCATTATCCACCCCTTATACATTCAAGCTTTCACTCGTTAATAGTAAGTGCATTTAAACAACAGGATCGAACCAAGAGAGATCTCCTAGGGAATCGCAGATAGAGAAGTTTCTCCTAGATCTGGTTCTGAACAATGAAATCTTAAACAATAGCAGCCAGGCAACAAAGAACAGACAGACAAATGGTTCTCTCTTACCTCTCCCCAGCTGCCATAAGCCCATTGGGGACACGGGCCAGACTCACAGGCTCTTTGCTCATCGGGTTTGATTCTTTCTACACAGTCGTTGGCTGTGTATCCGTTTTCATCCTGACACACCACAACTCGCCTCTGGGAGCCTCCGGCACAGGTACTAGAACACTAAGCACACAGAGCAGCAGATTTATCCTCAGCACCACCTGCCTCTGATCCACACATAAACCATCAAGACAGGTTCTATAGACAGTCTTCATAGACATTGGAGAAAGTTAGTAGAGAGACTGGGTGCTTCCCCAAGGTGGTGTTGTTCACTTTGTACACATATGCAAATGCCTGGATGGTAGAGGGGGGCTTCCCTTCACATTCTCCAGGCTGTCAGCAGGAGTTTGGCTGCACTAAGTGATTATGTTCAGAGTTCTCTGTGCACCTCTGTTCATTGTCCACCCGTGTCTGTTGTCCTCATTTCTGAGAGGGACAGAAGTGTCACGGTGTGTGGACATTTTTCAAAATGTCAAGAGCTTCTAGAGCCAATGTTTGAGTCTCTTTCAACACAGAGGTCCACTCATACTTAATAAATTGTCAATTATGAAAATTAAACTGGCATGTGAACTCCTTCAGTGACTCCTTAATGGTACCACAGAATGTCATTTAGATGTTAGACAGTAGGTGACTACCTGCCCCCACCCCCATCTTTTTGCAAGAACTTTTATACTTCAGTGACTAATGAGAGTAAAGCATGCTTTACTTGCGTTCCACTTCCTCAGTGAACTCAATTGAATTCCATCTTAAAAAAACCCTCAATCCATTTCAGTGGAATGTTCCTGAATGGCCCTTGTTGTTTGCATTTTGGTGGTTTCCCACACACCCTTCTCATAGCTCTCCTATGAACTTTCAGCTGGAGTGTTTCTCTTTCCAGAAATTGCTTACCTCTTTAATCTAGTGTATTTTCTAGCACCCTCCACTATGATGACCAGGAAAGGCTGGACTGCCTACACTCATTGAGTCTTTGAAGCCATACAATTTTCTCCAACTAACAATCCGAGTGGTTTGGTTTTAGTTGTAGGTTCTGATTTTCAGAGAAAGTTTCTTACTGTGAAGGCTAATCTCAAACTCATGTGTGATTCTCCTGCCCAGGTCTCTAGACTGCTGGGATTGCAGGCATGGGGGCCACCAAATCCATCCCACCACTCACTGGTTCTCAAAGCCAGTGTCATTTAAAACTACTCTCCAACTGTGCTTCCACCAGCCCATGCCATCTCAAGATGTGAAGGTAAACAATGTTGCAGAGTGTACTTGACTACAGCTCAGTTTCCATGCTGGGAAATACAGTTGCTCACCTATCTGGGTCAATTGATAAGTGATTTAAAGAGTTAAAAACCTTTTATAGCATATGTCACAGTTGTAGGTAAAGGCTCTTGCCTTTAAAGCTGATGCCCTTAGTTTGATTCCTAGGACTCATTTGGTGGAAAGAGAAAATTGACTCTGGGGAGTTGTCCTTTGATCTCCTTTCATGTGTGAACACACACACACACACACACACACACACAAATTAAAAATAAAAAAGATAAAAATACACCCTATGCAGAACTACCACTTTTCAATCATAGAGTGGGACAATAGATCCATTGGTAGTGTCTGAGAACTATTTAAGCGTATTTTGTCTTACAAATTTTTGTTCTTTTCTCTGAAGGTTCTGGTATACTTACTTTAAGCCTACTTGGTTTTCCCTTTGTTTGTTTTAGTTTCAAGCTAATATATAATAAAGACACAGAGAACAATTATCTTAATTAGCTTTGAGGAACAGAACTTAAAACGCTAGAAAAGGCCTGTGTGTTGTAAATGGACTTGCAATATCCCTTGAGATTTCCACTGGATGGATAAAGTTTTGTAGCCTTCCTTTATGTTGTCACCTATGAGTCTTGTTACCCTACCATAAGGGGCACCCAATGTTATAATCCATGCTCATCCAGTCACCGTATTAAATGCAAAGATTCCCGAGCAAATTTCACTCCCCAGGAACAGATGAGCCATGACAACATGAGGCAAAAAATAAAAAATAAAGATAAAAATTACACTGTATAGCTGAAGCCTCACTTAGAAAAAGGGAAAAATAAAAATAAACACGAGAAAACCAAAAGCATCATAAGGAAAATAATATTCTTTCCTGATCTAATCCTTCTAGATTGGGGACTTTGCCTCAGGGAAGAATCATTCAACATGAAACAAACACATCTTCCCTACAAATGGATTTAAATAAAAATAGTACTAAACAACAAAACAAGACCCCGCCCCACACCAAACATCATCAACAGCAAGAAACAAACCAACAAAAAAAACCCACCACCACCACCAACAAAAACCCCTTTCATAGCATCATCAAAATATACACATGTGAATTGTGACTTCTGAATCTTAAAAAAAAAAAAAAAAACAGGAAAAACCATGATGCACTCAGTAACTGATGGCTCTGATCACTGGTCAGTTTTTAGAATTCAAAATCTGAAAACTTTCCTAAGTAGGGGAGGGAGACTTACAGGAAATGAGAGAGGAGGAGGAGGAGAAGGTAGAGGAGGAGGATGAGGAAGAGAACAGGTGAAGGTGCTGGGTTAGAAAGCCAACAGTTACTCAGGAGTCTACACTCAGGAGTCTACACACAGACTCCAATCAGCACCCACAGGCCAGTATTTCCACTGCATTTACACTCACCATGGGGGAGTGGCAGACTCTAATCCTTTCAGCCCAGAAATAATTCAACACAATTAGCGGTACTAGAGGGAAACTAGACACAAAAAACTAACAAGACGCCCAGGGATCAGCATGCCCACTCTAATTACTCGGCCTGCAGAGGCTGTTGTCATCCTTTCCTTTGGAATGCCATGAAATGTTCCAGCATTCTACAACGTATTTTTGAAAAATCATCCAGCATAACAGTTTAAAACCATCCAAATGCAATTTCTCTTCTTTTGACATTAAGTATTTTTCAAGGCCTTGGTGGTTGGAAGGCCAGTAATAAGGAGAGTGATGAAGATAACTCAGCAGTTGCCTGGCTTCATCCTGAAGCAGGTGAGGCACAAAAGCCCTTTACATAATCATCTCATTTAACCCATGACATGACAGAAAGGACTTAGCACTGTCATCCTATTGTTGATGAGGAAATTGAGGTTTACCTAGGAGAGGTTGCCTGCCTCCATTAAGAACTTCCCTTCAGCCTAGGGGATAGCTCCTCATGTGAACACGCTTGTTGCCGAGCCTGGTAACCTGACTTCAATCCTCATGCCCATATAGTGGAAGGAGAGAACCCGCTGCAGCTCTCCATGATCTGGTTCTCACAATCATGTAGTGGCAGGCCCATATATGTACAAATACACATTTAAGAAGAAAAGAAAAAAAATGCCTCTTCAGAAAAGTCTCTTTGCTCTCTCTCTCTTCCTGGCCTTCATGATTCAACCATGATGTCTCATCACCCAGGAGTGATGGACCCCCTCCTCCAAAGGGTCTCTTCCCTGGGACTGCAACAAACCCATCAGTATTCACCACACTTGACTACAAATGTGTTAATAATGTTTCAAAGGAAAACTGCTTCAGAACCAACTCCAGTCTGTTTTCCCCCAGACACTACTCAAGTTGGAGAGAAGTAAGCGGAGTGGGTACTCACTGCTCCCCAGGGGCCGGTTCTCCACTGGTTTCCTCCAAGCACGTGGGTGCGGCTAGGGCTGTCACTCCTGGGGCGGAAGTCCTCGTTTTGAAATGGGTGAGCCAAGCCAGTCCATTGAGGGCACGGTGACATGGAGCAGTCCTGCTCAGTCTCTGGGATATAATCTGGGTCACACTCACTCCGATCAATCACCTGGTCGCTGTAGTTGACACACACCACTTGTCGGGTTGCCTTACCTTGCCCACAAGTCACGGAACACTATGTTGAATATTTAGAAAAAAAGAGGGGACTATCATTTGGGAGTCAGAGTTATGTTTTTGAGTATATGTTTCTTCAGGTGGCTGAATATTTTCCTAGGTGCCCAGCTAAAAGTCTTAGAATCAGCCTTGACTGCGTTCTTCTATTTCCATCTGATATCTCTCGCCAGAATTGATGTCATAGTTATCAGCTGGGCTCTTCTGCTTAGGACTTGACATACCCCACATACCTGTTGTTTAGTAGTGACAAAGTACCACCCATTACCACTTAACTCATGCACCCATCTGATGACTTCCCAGCTCACTTAAAACAATATCCGAACTCCTTGTTGATTTGCTAGGCCTTTGATTGCAGAGCCTCTGGCTCCTGCCTTAGATGCTCTTTCGTTCTTGAAATACTGTACTTAAAGATTATTGATCAAGCCAAGAACCACTCATCTCGGGGCCATTCTGTGAATGCAGTTGCTGTGGCACCACACAGCTTCAAACTCTTCTCCCCCCTCCCCCCCCCCGCACCCTTGCTTCATGCAGTAAAGTGAGATTATTTGTCATTTGTTGAGTACCTATTTTCTGCTAAGCATCCAATGTATAATCTCAATCACACCAAAAATGTCTTAAAATAGGTATTCATCCTGGTCATTTTTTTAAAATTTAACTTTATTTGCTTATTCAGTTGTGTGTGTGTGCGTGTGTGTGTGTGTGTGTGTGTGCAGGCCTGAGGAGAATGACCAGCATTGTCCTTCTATAATTCCTTGTCTCTTTCCCTTGGGACAGTGTCTCACTAAACCATAGACTCTTGGTTTTCAGCTAGGCTGGCTAACCAGCAAGCTCTGGGGATCCTTTGAAATCTGTTTATCTCTGCTCCCCGGCACTGAGTTACCAGCATGCCTGCCATGCCCAGCTTTTTATGTGAGTGCCAGGAATGTAAACTCAGGTCCTGCTGGCACAGAGAGAGCTCTTACCCATTGAACCATATCCTAGGCCCATTCTTCTTTTTAGAGCAGAGAAAAAAACCGTGGCTCAAAGAGTTTAAATTGCTCTGAATCAGGTAATCAATAAATGACTAGGTCTGAGTTTCTCTGGAGCTCTTTGATTCCCTGTCTCACACATATATTTTGAAATGTCCTGCAATTTTAATCTTATTTTTCCACAGCCTCCCTGTTCACCTAACCTAAGCTACTTCCTGGATTGTGGGAGTGTTGAAGGGCTGACTTCAGAAGTTGCCTGAAGAGAAGGTTCATCTGCTTTTTAAAAAGTCCACACAGATGGTGCTTGTTTCCCTAGAAGACAGGGCCCACAGCACTGTGAGAGGTCCCATGGCACTCCTTGAAGGGAACCAAGGTACACATCTGCCTTTGAAAGATGACAGGATGCATGAGCAATCAGACTCAAAGTCAGAGAACCCTCAGCCTGCTTCCCCTCCTTGCCGCTATTGGGGCTCTGTAAGTCATTTGCAACTGATATGCTTCTGCAGACTGAGATTGCAATCAGCCCAGCAGGACAGGTACTGATTCACACACTATTTTAAAATATTCATTCCTTGGACATTTGACTAAGATTTCCTTCATACTTATATATACATATATGTGAAACAGGATAATTTAAGTCTCACGCCCAAACTCTGAGATATTATCTATTCATAATATGGATCCTCCAACTCCTTATTCCCGGTCCATCTTCCAATCCCACCCAACCCTACAAAATCCACGCTTACAGAGCTCCAGTCCAGAGCCTTCCACTGTCCACAGGGTGTCACAGAACACTCTTCCTTGGCTACTGGTTTAGGCAAAGTAGCACAGGCACTCTCCTCAGCCACAGAACCGTCCTCATCCCGGCAGCTGACGTATCTCATCCGGGTACCTTTTCCACAAGTGGCTGAGCACTGGATGTGGGAGTGAAAGGACACAGACATGTCATTTGAGATGGATTCCTAGTGTTTTTCACTTAGCCCAGTTTCTTATCAGATATTAAGCCCCTTTCTAATAGTCAGGTCAGAGAATATCTGTCTCTGCACAACTCCCCACTTTCCCCCAGTCCGTTTCTTACTGGAGTCCAAGACCCAAATCGCCATTGGGTTCTGGGTACACTGTGTGCATTTCTCCTTGGTTCCAGGGACAGTATGGAAGGGTGACAAGATGGTAATTCACAGTCCTGGACATGAAAGGAGAAAACATTTACCTTCCAGGCAGCATATGTTCATCGAGACACAGTCATGGTAAGAGAGCACGCCACACCAAGAAGTCTAAATACTCTTATTTCTGTCTGTTTCTACAAACCCCATGGCCTTGCTTAACCTCTGACCTCTCTCAGGCCCAGTGGCTTCAGAGGCAGAGAGGGATATGATCTGAATCCTTTTCTGGATGCCTTAACACAGAGCAGGGTCCCCTTAATGATCAGTAAAGCCCTGTTTAGTCACCTGTTTATAGGAGAGGAGAAGAAACACTGGGAAGGGGTGTGTCTGTCTGGAAAGAGCAGGATAACATTTAAAAATTATTAACTGTTAATGTTTAAATATCCTCAAGGCTAAATTGTGTTCTCACACTTCAGGTAGTTTCCTAATCAAAATTTGCTAATCCTAAACTTGTTTTCCCAGGGGGCACCTAAAGATAACACCCGGGGCCCTGAAGGTCAGCCTTTGATAAAAAAGGAATTTTCTGTAGGCCAACAGTAGGAATTCACATAATGCCCCTCAATCACTCGGAGAACATTGCTGTAGTGAACTCAGTTGTCTGTGGGTGGATACCAGTCTCTTATTTACAGAGTGGAAAACAAAAGAACACACCTGTTTATAATCAGTCCCAGCCTCAGCAGCTGCCCACAGCTCCTTGGTTTGATACATAGTTATCAAGGGCCCAGGAGTCAGCTGACTCGGTGCAGAAGTGCTGGGGCCTGAGACTGAAGGTCACTGATGCTTGGTCTGAAGGTCACTCACTGATGCTTGTTCACCTTCAAACTTTACATATGGCATAACTTTATATACAGTGTGAAAATTCTACTACCTGGCTCCATACCTAGCTTTTTCCTTTGCCTGTGCTCCAAAGAGAGTCCAAGGGGACTTTTGCAAAAAGTAAACAATTTATCCATAGGCTTTGACTGTGGGAGCCTATGGATTAATGAACACTATAGAATGAGAAAAATCCCATTGCAATTGCTAAGGGAATTACTAAGTTTTCACCTTATGTAAAGATATTTTCTTAAGACTAACTACTGCGTGTGTGTGTGTGTGTGTGTGTGTGTGTGTGTGTGTGTGTATGTATAGGCCAGGGGTTGATATTGGCATATTGGCTGTCTTTCTTAAGCACTTGGTACCTTAGAGACAGGGTCTCTCACACAATGTGAAGCTCACTGATTAGCTAAGCTTGCTGGCCCATGAGTTCCAGGGAGATACACCCATTTCTCCCTCCTACTTTAGGGTTACAGACAAACCCCTGTGCCCAGCTTTAATACCAGTACTGGGAAACTGAACTCAAGTTCTCACGCTTGTGCAGAAAAATATTTTTCCCAACTGAGAGTATTCCCTGTTATTTTGAATATTTTAATAAAATTATAAAAATAAAGTTTATACAGGTATACTACTTATTAGGTTAATTGATAAGCAGCAATAATATGATGAACATCATTAAATTCACCCTTCATGATTCTTTATCCATAAATGACAGGTAGTAAAGTGCACCCAACTGAGGGTGCCCAGCTTGGAGGCAGTCAATTGGCTGCATAAGGCTTAAATCTATCTTTAGTAGTTATCAAACCTGTTATGCAAACTCAAACCTTCTGTTGATGTAAATGATACCAAGATCACACACAGAACAGTGAGCTTGTGAAGCACTGTATTCTCACGAGGGGAAAAACTGTGTGTGTGTGTGTGTGTGTGTGTGTATGTGTGTGTGAGTGTATGTGTGTTTATGTGTGTGTGTATGTGTGTGTGTGAGTGTATGTGTGTGTATATGTGAGTGTATTTGTGTATATGTGTGTGTATGTGTGTGTATGTGTGTGTAAGTGTGTATGTGTGTATGTGTGTGTGTGTGTGTATGTGTGTATGTGTGTGTGTATGTTTATATATACAAGCAGAAATTACAGATATGTGTAGTTCTGTGCACACTTAGACATTTTACTGAGTTACATGATATATAGCAAAAATTTTACCAATGACATTAATACCTACAATTATCTCAGAATTCATATAGCCAATTAATTCTAATAATAGACTTATATTGACTTTTTTGTTGAACTTTTGAACCTATTGCCAAAGGATGACTATAATTGCTGAAAAAGATAGTTGAATTGTGTCACTGAATTATATAGAGTGTGTGGGAGTTTAGGAGGTAAGGGTAGGGATATATCTGAGTGGGTAGAATCCTTGCTAGCATGTATGAAACCCTAGGTTCAATACACAGGACTTGCTTAAACCAGGACGACACATGTTGGGAAGCTCACAACTCAAGAAGTAGATGGTAAGAGGATCAGAAATTAAAAATTGTTCTTAGCTACAAAGAGCGAAGCCAGCCTGGGCTGCCTGAGACCTTACGCTACTGAAGAAAAAATCCTTTCCAGAATCAAATAATCATTTTCAAATATTCCCCTCCGGGTATTATTCATAGTAAACTGACTACAAATTGCTAAAGTCTCTCTGTCACCTTCTGAATTCAAAAACAGTGGTCAAAACAGTAAATGAAGCTGTAAGTTACAGCACCTGCTGGCATCTGTGTTGCGTGCTCTGTCCCCACGCCGGTTGCCAAGCTATGCACTTGACCTTGTTAACAGAGCTGAGGAGACACCACAGCTGCATACAGGTGTCAGTGACCTTCTGAGAGCACAGGTTACTGCAATAAATAGTAACTTTCTAAGCGGTGAGTGGTGAGGCTCTAAGCTGTCCTCCTCCCCAGTACTTTGCAGTTTTAAGAGCAGTCTGTAGCTCACAAGACCCTGTGAAGTTTGCTGTGAGGTCTTAAGAGTTGCTCCGAACTAGCTCGAGTGGCACACACTTCTTGCATTTAAACCTGAACTCCTGGAGGAATCTTCAAATAAAGTATATAAGATTTCTACATTCAAGATAAAACCAGCTAATACTTGCTATTCGAGAAGAATGAAGCACAAATACTTAAAAGAACTTAAAAAAGACAAACCCAGATAAAAAGAAGTTAGATTCTAGATGGGGAAGAAAATAAGAAGTAATTCCCAGATAATGTTATATCCTGGCTATTCTGCCTGTGGATTTTCCTATAGGAACGTTTCCGTTTTGTCTGAACCAGTGAGATTTTGGCCCTTTACAGCCCAAACCCAGTACCTGAGTTGAAACAGGAGACTCACCTGCGTGTCGGTTGGCCTAGTTGCTGCATTACAGTCATTGTCATCGACCACTGACATATAAGTCCCCATGATGCACTTCACTGCCCTTAGCTGGTATCCCTGTCCACAAGTGACACTGCACTGGGGGAATGAAATAAAACAAAATGTCACCAAACTCTTTCTTTCACATATACAACCCCATAATATTCTTTTCTATAAGAGAAAAGTTCTCCTGTCACAGTAGACCTCAGGGCTGGCACCCAGAGATTAGGTAAACTATGTACTCTTGCTTCACATAATTCACACTGGTCAATTGTTATTATGACATTTAGAATTCTTTCTGTCTGCTACTGGAATTAAACTTGTAAGGGTTTAGCTCCTTGATCATGAGCTCCAGAAGGAAGAGGAGCATGTCTCCATAACTGTCAGGTCTTTCACACTCTACCTGCTAGAGTATCCTGGTTAACACAGGTATTTTGTACACCTCTGTGATCTTTGACTTCTGGGAAATAGTTCCCAGAAAATAATTGAAAGTTGTGTCAATATTTCTGCATAGGATGCTTTTTGCAGAGTTATTAGAAGGAGACAAGATACTGGAAAGCATCTACATATATAATAGCCAAAAGTTAGGTAAGTATATCAGAGATCAATACAGTGGCTGCAAGGCACTCTGTCAGAGTTACAGGCAAAGGAAAGGGATGGGGGTGGGGGTGTTATGGGTAAGACAGCAGAAGATGTTGAAAGAATCCATTCCTACAGTGAAAAAGTCACTAACCCAGCAACAATAGATATAAGTCAACTGTTAATTGGAGTTTTAATGATAATAACTTTACAATTTTCAGTAAGTAGACAAGTACTTAATGAAGAAAGAAGATGAAAAATTGGGTAACAAAGGATCATGACAATTCCTACTCTTCCAACCATACTGTATGTTCATCTCAATGGACATGAAACATTGTTTCAAGGTAGGCCACCAGTGTGGCCACACAACAAGCATCAGTCATCGATTAGATAATGTGGGACGTATCTTCTCTGACCACAATGAAATGGGACAGTAGCAAAAGCAAACCTGGAAAGTTTATCCATGTGTGGGAACTGATAAATTCCCTGCATGAATTAAACAAGCAGTATGTCAGAGAACAAATCGCTGAGGTATTAGAATATACTCTGGGGAGAAATATGAAAGAAGCAGAAGAGAACTGGAGAGACACGGTGAAATCAGGGTGCACAGGGAAATGCATTATGGCAAATGGCTACATATAAATTAATTAGAAAGACTTCAAAACAGTAGACTTACTAGCAATAGGAGCTTATGTTCAAGTTGTGGAGGGTAAGCTATAGCACTGGCAATAGCCTGTAGTGCTGGGGTGGTAGTGGTGATGTCTATGGGCCCCTTTGGCCAATGCCTCAAAAAGATGTAACTGATTCCTGCTATGGGTTTTTTTGTTTTGTTTTTGTTTTTGTTTTTTTTTTTCGAGACAGGGTTTCTCTGTATAGCCCAGGCTCTCCTGGAACTCACTCTGTAGACCAGGCTGGCCTCAGAAATCCGCCTGCCTCTGCCTCCCAAGTGCTGGGATTAAAGGCGTGCGCCACCACCGCCCGGCTTGCTATGGGGTTTTTAACTTGGTAGCATTTGGTGGCTAATTGGGATATTGTCCCCTATTATGTGCTGACTTTAAGTTCAGTTGTCTTCAATGAAGTGACACTGGGTATAGCAATCACACTCCGAGTCATTCTCGGTACTCAGGAGTAGATGACCAACACAAATCAGACTGAATGGTTTTTAGTGACTCTTTGGCCACTAAAGGAAAGTACATGAACTTGGGTGGGTAGGAAGATAGGGAAGATTTGTGAGGAGGTGAAGGACAGAAAATAACATGAGAAAAAAATGTACTATATAAAATTTTCAAAGAATGAATTAAAAGAAATAAAAAATAAACTAAATGTTTACCTTAAAGAACAAAAGGAAGAACAAGCTAAACCCCAAAGAAGAGGAAAGTAAGTAATAAATACCACAGTAGACTTGAACAAATTACAGAATAAAACAAAAAACCAGAGGTCAGGATGTGTGGCTTGTGGGAAAACACATGACTGGCATACCTGAGGGCCTAGGTTCAATCCCCACTACCAAAAGACAGAGAAGAAATAAATATATGAATATATCTACACAAAGAGAGTGATTCAATAATAAAAAATTTCCAATTGAGTCCAAGTGAATGCTGCTAAAAATTTAAAGAAATGTTAACATCAGTTCTTTTCAAACATTCCCAAAATATTGAGGAGGGATCATTTTTTACAAGGTCAGCACCTAAATATGCAAGAACCAAATATCTTGTCTCTTATTAAAAACATTGCAAAAAACATTCAAGGCAAGAATATTGAGACAACTTTCAGTTATTTCTTGAGAATTTATCCTGTAGAGCCAGTGATATCAATATCAAAAGTGTGTGTGTGTGTTGAGGGGGGAATATGAACAAATGTCTCTTGTAAATAAAGATACAAAATCTTTCAAGAAAATACTAGCAATTAAACCCTGTAACAATATGGGTTGTAGTCATGTGGGACTTAGCCCAGGAATACAAGGCTGACTTGCAATTAAAAAAAAAATTAATGAAATGTATCATATAAGTAGCTAAAACAGAAAGAAAGAAGTTCCTAAAAAGACTTATAATTATGTCAACTGAAAAAAAAGTCACTTGGCAAAATTAAAACAAACAAACAAGCAAACAAACAACCTTTTCGTGCAAATGCATCCAAAAAAGTGATGGGCCCTTCCTCTACATGGAAAACTACCCATCTGCATGCTTCCCACACAGAGGGGAAAGGCTTTCTTCTCTGAGTCAGGAACCTGAAAAGGATGTCTCCTGTAACCTTCACTATTCTGAGCACACTGGAGGTATAGCTGGAGACAAAGCAGGGAGAGATAAAAGTCAGACTGGAAAGAGAAGGCAAGCCTATCCTATCTGTAGGTGTTATCCCAACAAACACAGACATCCCGAAGAATCTGCAGAGAAACCACCATAGTTAACACTCAAAACCAGCAGTTTCTGAACACCCAATGAAATAAAAATAATAAAAAATGATGATGATGATTATGATGAATTAGATGTGTTTCTACAAATCATCAGAAATAACCAAAAGGGAAATTAAGAAAGTAAGTTCATTTATGATAATATCCCAAAGAATAAAATCATCAGGAAAAAAAATGTAATCATAAATGTGAAAGACTTCTATGATAAAATCTCTAAAGGAGTGACGAAATTAAAGGGCTTAAATAAACTGAAAGATATTTATTTACTGCAATAAGGCAAAAAAAAGTAAGTCAATATTCCCCAAAGAGATTTAGAGTCCATTCAAACCCAGTGAAAAAAATCACACAGCATTTGTGAGGTGTGAATACAGACTGGTTCATACAAAAGGAGGTTTTATACAAAATGGGAAGAGATTCCAAGCACCCACAAATAAAAAAAAAAGAATACAGTTGGAGGACTCATATTTTCCAATCTCAAAACTTTTGAAAGGAATTGAAATGGTTTCATGCTGGTATCAGGACAGGTAGTCAGACTAGTAGGGCAGAGTTCCAAGTCCAGGAACAAACTTTTACGTTTATGCTCTGGTGATTTTTGACAGGTATGCCAATACTCTTAACAAAGAAGGAAAGTATCTTCAACAAATAGTACAGGGATAGTTGTTTACCCACACATATGAAGCCAGATTTCCATCTCATATGTGTGTCTCTGTGTGTGTGTGTGTGTGTGTGTGTAAAATTAACAATGCATCGGCTGCCTAAAACCAATAGCTCCAACTATTTTTAACTCTAAAAATAAAAAGGGCATTTGAGCTATTGGATTTGCCATTGATTTGTTCACTATGATATTATAAACAAAGACAACAAAAGAACAAATAAATTACACTCTGCCTGAATGAAAAACATCTGTCCACCAAAAGACATGATCGACAGTTTAAAAAAAAGTAACAAATGAGAGAGAAAAAGTATTCGTAAGTGATATATCTGATTTTTAAGAATCGATACCCAGGACACATACAGAACTCAAATAACATCAACAGCCTCTTGACCTTTAAACACCTGGGTGAGACTAGGAACAGGAAGGGTACTGGGAAGATCGTGGGAAAAGTGGAAAAAGGTACATTTTAAAGTGATTGATAGGTTTGCTTGATTCCTTTGGGATGAGATGGGGGGGAGTGGTAGAAGAGTTCTATGTAGCTCAGGCTGGCCTTGAACTGTCTATGTCATCAGGGTTGACTCTGAATTTGTGATCCTCCTGCCTCCATCTCCTGAATACTGAAATGATAGGGATATGCCAGCATTCCTAGTGTATGCATCATGCCTGGTACTAGGGATGAACCCAGGACTTGTTTCATGCTAGGAGAACACTCTGCCTACAGAGCCACAGCCCAGATCAGATAGGGTCCATTCTAATCTTTTTAAATGCACAAGAAGTTTGACTAGACATTCCTCCAAAGAAGATATTCAAATGGTGACAAACACATGGCTGATTGACCAACATCTTTTTCTATTAGGGACATATGAGCAGAAACCATAGCGAGACAGCACTTTACACTCAGTGGAAGGGCTACAGTTTCAAACGGAAGATAGTAACTGTTGACAATGATATGAAAGAAACTTTCCATCAGTATATTTTATTTGGTGATTTCTATCAATGGAGTGGATACTTGAATATTTAAATAAGTATTTGATTCACATTTATGTTGCATTTCTTGAGAATATTGGTTTGATCTTGACATTTGTGTTTTTCTTTTTATTTAAAAGTAGCATTTTCATATGTATCAAAAGGTTTTAAGTAAGTGATTGCTTAAATTAAGACATTACAAATGAGTGTGAATTAAAATTTTGAAACATTACCAATCCAAATTTTACAAGCCATAGATTCAAATCTGATTAAAATCATTTCCATGGTTGTAAAACAAAAGAAATTGTATATTGCTTATATATTGCTGGGAGGGATGGAAAATGGTACAGTCTCTGGAGAAAGCCACTTGGAAGTTAAAAACCTAAACACAGAGTTACTATGGGAGCCAGCAATTCTATCCCTGGGTAGCAGAGTCCAAATAAGTGTCATTGGGCACTAAAATAAATACTTTTTCATTTATGCCAGCAAAATTCATAGTCGTCAAAGTGTGGGGAGAACCCAAATATCTATTTTAGACACTCATCCACACAATGGGGTAGGATTCAGAAGTTGACAGGAAGCAGTATCAGATGAAGATGAGTGTGAGAAGCTTTGTGTAGTGTAAATGAAGCCAGCCACAGAGGATGCGTGTTACACACAGCCGCCCATGCTTATGATAAGTCCAGCTTATGCAAATCCACAGACTCCAAATGCAAACTAGGGGGTTGCCAGAGGCTAGAGAAGAGGGGGATGGGAAATAATAGCTGAATGTGTACAGGGTTTCTTTTGGGGTGCTGGAAATAGTCTGAAAGTAGATTGAGGTCATAAAACATGGATACACTAAATAACATCAATTTGTTTAAGATAGTCAATTTTATGTCCTGTGTGTTTCTATTCAATTAAATATACAGGTAGATTACAATTCCAATGCAAGGTTTAAAAATGTTTGTTCGTTTGATTGTTTGTTTAAAGTGTTGTGCTCAGTCAGCAGTGTGTTTGATTTTTTTTTCTCTTTGCTAACACATATTTTGGAAACTTTTTATGAGTATTTTTGACTCTTTAATAATATCTTAGATATAGTGTTTGCCTAAGTTGCATGATCAGTTAGAGAAAGGCCAGATCCCTTGTAAGAGAGATGGGCAAAAGATGGATGAGAAACTGTCTGTCAGTTACAACTGTGATATGCAGTCACATATCTACTTGACAGTGAGCCCAAGGTATGCTTACGGCCTCTCATTAGTCAGGAAATGCTATAGATATTTAGACAAATAAGAAACACTGTTTGAGAGGATAAAGGGGCTTTCTTTATTTAGACATGATTTGCCACTGGACTGGGGTGTTCTCTGGGGCAGAAGATTCTAGCAGAAAAGTGTCAGTATGGGGGTCTGAAAATGGCTCAGTGGGCAAAGCTGCTTGCTTCCAAGATGAAGACTTGAGTTGAGTCCTTAGGACCCACATGGTGGAGGGAGGAACCAGCTCTGTAGCTTGTCCTTTAGCCTCCACTTGTACATGACAGACAGACAGACAGACAGCTCTCTCTCTCTCTCTCTCTCTCTGTTTCTCTCTGTCTCTCTCACTTTCCCTCCCTCCCTTTCTCTCTCCCTCCCTCCCCCTCTCTCTCCTTTCTTTCTTTCTCTCTCTCCTCTCTCTCTAACACTCCCCCCACTAAGTGTTAAAAAATATAATAAGACAAATTTTAAAAACACTATCAGTAAGGACAAGGAAGCCGGAGACACAGTTGTAAAGCTGCCTGTGTATTGCACTAAAGTTTAGAGATGACAGAGGCTAAGGAACAGGAGTGGCCGTGGCTGGTCAGGGCGGAGGGAGTCATTCTTCAACAGATTGCATAAGTGACAGCAGACAGCTGTTCCACTTCTACTGGGAACTTGGAGTGCTGCTTAAATAGTACACAGCACTCTCTTGCTTCTATATTAGGAAAGACTAGATTCCAAGAGCAAACTGGGCCCAGGGGACGTGCACTCTCTCCTTTAGAAATGGTAGATGTGGAACCCATTATACACTAGAAGACTAGGAAAAGATTCTCAACCCGACGATTATGTTGCTGGACCCCTTTGATCTGACTACATTTGAAGAATCTCACTTATTTATGAGAGGTGAGTTTTGGATTCCCTCTTGCTGGCAGCCAAACTATTCCTTCCAAAGCTCAGCCCAGACCCTCTAGTCCAAATCAGCTGGCAGGCAGGATCACATACCCACAGAGACTCACTCCAGGGAGGATTACATCTGCCAGATGCCACGTCTGTTGTGAATTTGTTTAAATACTTGTGCACAGTTTAGAACAGGGTGAAAACCTGCACGTGGAGTTGTAACTAGAGTAATCAGCTCCAGCAGGGCAAGGTAACCCTGGAAGCATTACAGGACAGCAGGAGTCCCATGTGCTGGACCTGGAGCTGCTGAAGTACAGTGCAGGCCAAGTCACACTGCAGTAAAACCCCACCACTGGAATGCCCCTCTCCAGATAAGGGGGGAAAGAATGCAGTTAAGAATCTTATCATTCAAAATACCTGTCCCCAGGGACCCGCCTGCCAGGCTGCACACTCTGGCTGCTGACACATCTGCGTAGGCTCCGGCTTGGCCTCAGGGTCACACATTCTATCGCTTAATCGATCTTCGCCAAACTGACACCAGACCTGGCGGTGCTTATGCCCTTTCCCACAGGTGACCAAGCACTGGAATGAGAAGCAGAGGCCATCAGGGTTGCTTGTGATCAATGTGCTGGAGCCTGTGGGGGCTGTTCTCTGATGAGAGCAGGTGGCCTCTTCTCACCTCCGGCCCCTCCCCACTGCCGAGCAGCAAGGAGCAAATACCTCCATTGCTCTTCGCTTCCTTTCATCCTGTTCTCTTTCTCCTTTCCCTCTTTCTTTTTATCCTGGCACAGCCTCTTGAAGCCCAGGCTGGTCTCCAACTCACCATGTAGCTGAGGGTCACTGAATACTCCGATCCTCTCTGCCCAGCTCCTCTCTTTGTAGGCGTGCCCACTGAGTCTGAGTTATATGCTGTTGGGCATCCAACCCAGGGCTTTGTGCGTGTGAGGCAAGTGCTCCTCCAACTGAGCCACATCCTCAATCCCCTCTTCCAGGGTTCTTATTCGATTTCATTATGAAATTCTCAAGCATACATATCATTATGCTTCACCCATATTTGCTCCCACTAGCTGCCCCCTATTCTTTTCACTCTTTTCTCCTTCTTCTCCTTTTCCCAAATCATTTTCTCTTATTCCCTTTGTATTTGAGGTCTTATGGCCAGATTCAAACACAGAAAAACAGAGTACCATGCTCTGAGAAACAAACAGTAGTCAGGATTTTCCATCACAGAGGTTCAGTGTGAAGAATTAAAAGCCCCATCAACTTGTATGCCTCTATGACCAAGTCACAGTGTCTCTGAGCCTCAATATTTACATCTATAAAATAGGGATGACAATAATTCTGACCTAGAGAAACTAAAGTGTCTAGCACATACAGTATTCATGTATGACATTCTCAAAAAAGAAAAAAAAGTTAAGTATAATCATCATTATTATTTGGGTTCATTTTGGAAAAATTAAAAAATAACTAAGGAGCACAAAAGACAAAGTAAAATAATCAAATGTTTTTTTTTCAACTGTTTACTCTTTTCTTTCCAGTCTCTGAGTGGTAGCTAAGTGTTGGGACATTCAAGCTGCACGTCCAGTATTTATTCAAGTACCTGCTTAGTCAGGGCTTGCTATAAAACTTTCCTCTCCTTTATTTTTTAGACAAAGGTCTCATGTGTCTCTGGCTAAGCCTTAAATTCATTACAGTACACACAGCCAAGGGTGGTCTTGAATTCCTGATCTCCTAAGAGTAGGAATAGAGACATGTACCCCTACATCTGGCTTTGTTAATAACTGGACATTAAAGTATTAGATACCTAAATGTGAAACCTCTATCTTCAATCATATTTTTTAAAAAGCAAGGATTTAGTACTTAACCTACTGGGAAAGCACCAAGTTTGTTGATTGTGTGTCCACAAATCAGACACAAATAAGGATGCATGCCGATACTTGACCATTCCAGCAGCATTAGGGGTATTTTGTTCAGATTTGACACCTGAAATACACAGCTAACATTCCACTCACATGGGGAGAGATAAGGGTGTGTGTGTGTAGGAGCTGTGGTTGTAGCACCATTGCTTCTGCACATTTCTGACTTGTCCAGTTAATAATGGAAGTCTATTCCTCAACCACTTGCATTCCCTGAAGGAGGTGATGTGAGGATCCCTCTTGCCGAGATTCTCACTGGGCTGTAACAGTGTTGAGCTACATTAATAGTAAAGATGAATACTGTATCCAAAGATTCAAAGACAGGGCACAAATGAGATTGCCTTGGGCTTCATAAGGCAAGAGGTGAGAAGTCATTATTCTGGAATACTCAGCCTGGGCTTCCCCCTAACCAAGTGCTCCCGCATGACTGGATGTGTAAGCCCGGTGGTCTAATCTCTTATTTCAAAGACGAGGAAAATGGAAATCCTCTTTGTTGGATTTATGCCTAAACTATTTTAACCTCACACTTAATTAAGCCTCAATTTCCAGCCAACGATTTATAGGTCTAAGTGGGGGAAGGGAACAACCACTCCGTCAGAGTCAGCAGCAGAAGCTAGTGGGCTGTGAGATCCAGCCAAACCCCTAGTGATGCTGAGGTCCCAGGCAGACTAAAGGGTTTCAATCATAATGTAAACGGAGAATCAGAGTCATTGTTTCCTAAGGGTCGGGGTGTGAGATGGAAGAACCATACAGTAGTCTACACCTCTGCCAGACACTGGGGAATCCAGAATCATCTGAGCTAAGCTAGGAACCAGAGCTTCCCTTTCTCACCTCTGACCAGTCTCCTGTTTTCCAATGGGGACAGGAGAATTCATTGCATCTCTGTACAACGACTTTCTCCTGGTGTGTGCATTTGCTGTCATCTAGGACGTCGTTACGAGTGTTGACACAAATTGCTCTTCTTCTCTGGGTACCGCCATCACAGCTTTTAGAACACTATGATCATTTTAAAAAAGAAAGGAAAAGAAAAGAAAATAGGGTATTTCTGAATTCCTTATAAAGAATGCTTAAAATCATGGCTATGCTATATCTTTCAACCCTTAAGAAATACATGCCCTATCATAGCCAATTCTAGTTGTTATTTAGGGATTTTATTTTCAATGCTAATTATTAGGTTTATATTGATGTCAATATTATCTCACTGACAAATTGAGACTAAAATTGAAATCTAAAAAAAAAAAAGATTGGCTGATTAGTTGTACCATTAACAGTTTTCTGTATATTATATTCAAGTGAGACAATACAAATTAAGCTTTGGAGCCTTCCTTTCAGAGCTTGACTTAGCCAGGCAGTGTAAATCAATCGCAGATCTCTTCTCCATGCAGTTTAAATGGGTTTTCCTAACACAATCCCAGAAGAAGCCACGATCAGCTCATCAGACTTGGTATCCAAGACTCAGATGAGAGGCAACTTACATCGGTCCAGGCTGAATAGCGCCATCCACCTGTGCTGCACTCCCCTGAGCATTTCTCCTGGTTGCTTGGTCTGGGTTGACTGCTACAAAAACTGTCATCCACCTTCTCCGTCTTCCCGTCCACCCTGCTGTATTTGGCACAGTGGATGTCTAACGTACGGTACCCCAAACCACACTGGGCACTGCATTCGCTCTTGCTGGCAACGTGCCACCTAAAGGTAAATAAGGTGAAAACCCAACATTTGTGTTAAATACAAGGGTCACATCCAACCAGTAGGAAAGCTGAGGTCTTTCCCTCTTAACCAAATATGATGAAAGCTCAAAGTCACAGCCAGATACAATCCAACTTCAAGCCAATGTATCCATGTAATTTTCATGGCTGCCAATGTTCATGGAAGTCACAGAACCATAGCCAGAAATCTACCTCTGTGAATAATCTCTCGGTATAGTTAGTCTGAAATTCAAGCAGCAGAAAGAAAAAGAAAAACAAACAAACAAACAAACAAACTGGAACTCAGCAAAGCAAGAACAACAACTTTTATATGAAGCATTTCATTTGGCTCCTTAGGCCCGCTCTTTGAAAACTCATCCGTGGGAATGCTCCGTTTTTATTTGTCTGTGCTTGCAAGTGGTCAGTGACTGATGATAATACAGGCATGAATAATATGGAATATAATTTAAAAAAATAAAGTGTCCTTATTATACACTATGCACATTATTGCTGTTGTTGTTGTTCTGGAATAAAGACTACATTTGGGGAGTGGGACATCAGTTCAGCATCAGGATCAATAAGAGATCCTGTCTCAAAGGAACAAAGCAGAGAGTGATGGAACAGAACGACTGACCTCCTCCAGCTTCTGGGTAGCAGGTGCACACCCTTGCACATGTATTTGTACACTCTACACACACACACACACACACACACGGCTGGAAATTTCTTAAAGACAGCAGACATTATGTGTGTGTGTGCATGTGTGTATCTGTGTGTAATTGTATGTGTCGGTGTATATGTGACTGTGTGTGTGAACATGTGTGTTGGTGTGTGTGTTTGTATTTATATGTGTGTATCTGTGTATTCGTGTGTGTGCATGTGTGTAGATGTTCATGGTACATGCGGAAGCTACTAAAGGTATTGTTTCTCTGGTGTCTTCTACCTGTTGCTTTAAACACAGTGTGTGTGTGTGTGTGTGTGTTTACCAGGTGTGAAGGTCAGAGTATAGTTCTCATCTTCCACTATGTGGCTCCAGGGATCCAACTCAGGTCATGAAGTTTATCTCTCTGAACTATTTTACTAGTCTTACCTTATTTTCTGAGACAGGCTCTGTCACTGAGACCTGGGAATCTCAGATTTTGCTAGAACCTTCCTCCGCCCCGTGGGTTCCATTCTTCCCCCAGCTTTGAGGTTACACAGCTGCACCATTGCACTTGACATTTTAAATGTGGGCTCTGGAGACTGAGCTCAGGGCCCCGTGCTTGCAGGAGCAGTTTACAAATTAGCTGTCTCCCAAACTCTCATTATACACTTTTAAAATTAGATGTGAAGCCGTAAGCCCTTGCCACCATTATATCTCTGATATTCATAACTGAACCTTCTGACACACAGCAGGTGCACCGTGTATATTAATAACTACTCTTATTTTTCATAGTGCAACAGGAACAGAGTCTGAAGTGCTTGAATTTAAAGCATAAATAAAAAATGTTTAATTCAAAATTTTAAGTTAGCGATCTTGAAATGTATCCGAAAATCTAGAAAAAGATAATTTCCTTCTAACCTCCAGGGGATTTTATTTCCCATTGTTAATTCCCTTCATCTCAGCAGTTGGGTGGTGTGCCACTTCTCAGTTCTAACAGTTCACTCATACACACCTGTGTAGGGGAGGAGTTGGGAAAGAAGAGGAACTCAAGCCAACACCCTTACCAAGGAATTTCTAAGTAATGTCCAAAAGTAGGTCAGAGTTGACCACTGTCAGGGAAAGTGGGCTGTGATTTTCCATTACACAGAAATAGCGTCAGGGAGATTTTGTTCTAACACAATAAACGAGGGCTTATAAACTCACGCTTTATCTCATCCTGTCACAGGCCAGCTGGGGCAAACTGTCACTTCCTACAGGAAGTGAGGCAAAAAAGAAAAAAAAATGAATTCGTTCCACAGAGGCATCTGGAACTTTCATCTGCACTTTGATTTTTGGCTACCTTCTCATGCCTCCATGGTCACTTCCCTTACCATCTGGGGAAAGGAGGGAGATGTTCTGACAAGAAAGCACTTTGCAGTTCAGGCTGCCAAAGTCACTTCCCTATCATCCCATAATCCCCAGGGGCCAAGCAGAGATCTCCAAGAAGAATCTATAAAAACAAGTGAACTCTAAATGATACCTAATTTGTTCTATATTCTTTCTGGACAGTGGCCTGTTCTTCAGTATGGTGTGCTTATAATTCATTCTATGGGAAATAAAATGCTATTATTATATTTAACTATTTTATTTCAGGATAGTATCTTCTAGTCAGGTGTATATGTGTATCTCAGTACTTGGGAGGTGGGAGCCGAAGAGCTGTGACCTTAAAGCCAGCTTGAGCTACAGAGAGAGCTCCTGCCTCAGAAATCCGAAGACTGGGAATATAATGGCAGAGCCCTGCCCAGTAGGCAAAAAGTGCTGTGTTCAGCCACCAACATTTAAAAAGTAAAATAAAACCTGTGTTTTAATAGGTTAATAAGTAAGAATAAGATAAATGTGTTACATGTGTAGGGTGGATATGAGGGCTGGATTAAATGGTTTTGAGAACTCCCAGAAGAACTGGATTTCTACACTGTACACCTTTAGAGCTTCGCAATGTTCACCAGTATCATGAACTTCCATATGAAGAAGACAACATTTTGGAGGGCTTCTCAAATACACAGGCTAAGAGTTGCTTCATCTGACTAGTGATCCCATAAACATGCCTGGGAGAAACTACTTTGGAGTCTGACCAACCAGTTACCATTCCCTCTCTGTTTGCTCAGTTGTGCTCACAGCTGATTGGCCAGATTTCAGCATTAGTTTTGATTAAACGGATTGACCGATGGACAAAACGGACAGTGCATCTTCCTTAGGCTTGGTTTGTGACTCCGCATATTTTTAGCAGGGACCTTTAATCTTCTCAACAGTCAGTAAAAAGTCAGTAGTGAAAGATGCGTCTAAGCACTGACTGAAAGACACAGTCTTTAGCTGACTACAGGCACAAGCCATAAGCTTGCCCCTTTGTGTGGCTCTAAAGCTAACCCTGAACTCTTTCTGCCCTCTGCTTTTGACTTCCTCCACACTCGATCTGCTACCTCTATGAGAAAACAGGGATGAAGTCCCCTCTCCTCCTTATCTGCAATCAGAACTGCTTTGGTCATTCAGCTCTGTGCTTCCGGCTCTTGTCCCCACTTGGCCTCTGCAGAGTTTCCAAAAAACAAAATGTTTTAAAAAGTTGATTCTAAACAGGGAATTTAGAGAATAATAACACACTGACCTCACTATTGATCCAAATAAAAAAATTCAGACGGAAACTTTATCTGGTATTATGACAAGAATATAAACAAAAAATCAGAGTATGTGCTATTTAATCAGCAAATATTGGGTATGAATTGAAGCTTTCAAGCTTATTAGCATAGAGAGCCTGAGTTGATCACTAGGTGGGAGGTTAAATGGGACAAGGTAGAGAGTAGCATTTAACACCTGTGGAGGATATGCAATAAATTAGCCATTATGATGATGATGATGACGACTATGCTATCCTTGGCATTTGACTCTCCAGGCAACTTCTATTTTTGCTTCCTTCCCTTGTGTAGTGCTGGAGAGCAGACCCCAGGCCTTGTCCATGTTTGTTCAGGCTGCATCCTAGGCCTTTGGTTTTTGAGAGACAAGGTCTTACATTGTAGCTTAGGCCGGCTTCAAACTCTCAATCTTCCTGCCCCTATTTCCCTACTTTCCTCACAGACTATTAAGTGATTGTGCTGAGTTTTAGCTCACTTTAAAAATCAGCCAAAGAGGAAGCAGCATCCTTATGATACTCTGTGTAACCTAAGGTGACACTTTTCTGAGTTGAGGCTATCTTCTCCTGTACTGGCTTTTAGCATCTGTGTGAACATTATGCTTAACAGTGTCTACTGCTGGAGAAACCAGAACTGTCGCATCCTGAATTATGACTCGTCTTGAGATTGCTCAAAGAGAAAAGTATTTGGTTTTTGAAGTAACAGTACAAACATTAATTCCTCTTTGAAAAGGATATTTGCTGGATAAGCTTGAAATAGGATTATTGAATATTATTTGTTTGCTTTTTACACATTCTGTTTCTTGAAATGCTTTTTACAGACTCGTTGGTTTAATGTTTGAGGTAGCAGACCTACAGAAACTGCAAGTATCATTCAGGATGTGACTAGCCCCAGTCGGAGTCAGACAGTGGAGTCCCAGTGTAGACGAATGAATGAAGCAGGACACACACTGGTAGAGATTAATTTCTCATATATGGGATTGCAGAATGGGGTGCATGACTATCATTCTTCAGCATTAACAAAGTAAGAATGGAAGCAGCTTTCTTCCAGAGCTGAAGTACACAACCTCTCCCATCGGATGGGCCACATTTAAGCCTCAGCTGTTAGGTTAGACAGTGTGATCTGAAGCAATCTACTTAGCAACAGTCAGTTTTAATATTTTTATGTATAAAATAATGATACAATCTATGCTGTAGTTGTAGTGGTTTGAATAAGAATGGCCCCTGTAGGCTCATCTATTTGAATGTCATCAGGGAGCAGGACTATTTGAGAAGGATTAGAAGTCGTGGCCTTGGTGGAGCAAGTGTGGCCTTTTTGGAAGAACGGTGTCACTGGGATGTTCAAAAAGTCATACCAGCCCCGTACCACACACATATACCTAAGTATCAGAGTATAGCTTTTAGCTCCATGCCTACCTTCAGCCATGCTCCCTGCCGTGAAGATAATGGACTAAGCCTCTGAAACTGTAAGCAAGCCCCAATTAAAAGCTTTCTTTGATAAGAATTGCCTTGGTCATGGTGTCTCTTCATAGCTATAGCACAATGACTAAGACAGTAGTAGTATCTGAAAAAATTCATAGTCTATTAATTATATTAATAGAATCATAAAACCTATCCTATTACTGTGGGGATATTATATATAGCTGTCAAAAACAGTTCTCAGTTTAGTGATACCCTATCTTAAAATGTAGAGAGAAAGCTGGGGTTAACTCAACGGCAGGACACTAGCCTAACATGTATAATTGTCTAGGTTCCATGTCCACTTCTGTGAAAGCCAAAGAAAAACCCGGATCTTAGGGACGGCTTACTCTACCATAATTACTTGGAAAATGGTAGGAGATGTAGTGATGGCTGGATTTAAAGTGATCTGAGAATGCCATCTTCCTTAGCTTGTTAACCTTGCATCTCAAGAAAGCTGTGCAAGAATTCAGTGACTCTTCAGCCTAATTTCCCATCAAAGGACTACTTAATTCTAACTTAGCTAGTGTAACTCAATTGAGTGAAGCAAATAGGTTTATATGATACTACCTAAAATAAAGCACTGCCAAGTGTTTCCTTTCCTTTCCTTTTTATTTTTTTTTAAAAAACTTTTTAACATCTTACTTTTTACAGCGACTTTTGTTCATACTTACTGGCAAGCCACTGAGAAACCCAGTGACAATAGCCTCAGAAAAGGTGTGGCAGGGTGGAAAGAACCTCAGGCCAGGGCTGGGAGATCTATGATGCACATGTCACTGCTGCCCCTCTGACTCCTGGGACAGAACACTGTTCATTGATCATGGCACTGTTTTCCTCTCAGACACATAAGAAGACCTTATAATCTGTACTCCTGCACCAGGTAGCTAACACTATGAGGACCTGGCACCATAGTGTGGAACTTCCAAATGCTTCTGTCTTTACTCTGCTCCTTGTGAATGGAGAGACCTTATCGCATTCCTGTGCTAGTCTATGCTAATAATCTCACAGACTTGGCATACAGATTGTACAATACAGCCCTCCTGCTGTTGGACATTTATACAGTCACCCTCTCAGGCAATAGAAGCACTCTAGAATTTTCCATTCCTTCAATATTTCTTCCATCAGATGACATACCTTTCTTAAACACAGAATTATGTAAATACCTAGATAGTCATATTTGCATTTCCTTCTCATTTCCTCCATGCCTCTACATTAATAACATATTCTCTCTCTGTCTTTCTCTCTGTCTGTCTCTCTCTTTGCCTCTCTCTGTTTCTGTCTCTGTCTCTCTGTCTCTCTCTGTCTGATGTGTTTGCTATATGTGGACACTGAAATGTTTGTGCACTTAAGAATTCTGCACGGTGTCTGCTCTGGATGGAAAGGGAACACCATGAGGATTCTTACATAATGTCTGACTTGGTGGTATGGCCAAAAGCTCATCAATAGGTTGTGAAGATCAAGTTGTTTTCTGACAAGTGCTCTGCTCTGTTAACTATTTTTAATTCTTAGGAGAACAAGAAATCCAGAGTTATAGATCTCGACTAAATGGTTTAAAACTGGCTGGAGTTTGTGTGAGGAAAACACTGGAAGGCTAGAAAAAGACTGGCAACTCTTGTCTCCATCACATCCCCCACAGAGACTCCCCTCAAGCCCACTTGAAAGATACAAGGAAAACAGAGGCCGCACCTCAAGTCACAGTCTGTGCCGCACGCTTCAGTGACAGGTCCTGGCTGGGGCAGCCGGTCACATCTTTGATCAGAAACGGTTAGCTGATCAGACTCCCTGGTGCAAACAAGTTTTCGTCTCCGCTCCCCTAAGCAAAGAGTAGGGACATTATGCCGAGGAAATAACCTGCTCTAAATAACTGAGATCAAGGACTCTCCTACACTTACTATCAAAGGCTAGATAGTAAGTACTTTCAATTTCCTTGGCCATATGATCTCTGCCACACTTCTTAATTCTACCAGGACAGGACAAAACCTGTCCCATAGACAGATTGTTAACAAATTGATGTATCCAGCCTCTAATAAAACTGTAGTAATAAAAAGAGGGTGGGGGATGAATTTGATCCTATTGCTATAGTTTGCTAACCCTAACTTAACAAAAGGAAACAAAACTAATACAAATTATGGCCAGTAAAGCTAAATGATGGAAAATTAAAGTGGCAGTATTGATTCTGTGTGGTTTCACACATACATTCAAACTTCTTAGGGGAAAATGCAGTGTGACCTGGCATGACCTGAATCTTTTAAAGGTCAACGTGACAACTGAAACAACCAGAAAGGTCTGAGTAAAAGAGATGAGAAGATGCATGCAGTTAGAAGGTTTGCAGATTGTACGTACATAGCTGTTCTTTTAAAAAAAATTAGTAAATCAGTAAATAAATGAAACAGAGCCCCCTCACTCCCCACCCCCCATCCTCAAACCCATAGAGGCAGAAACTCTTGAGCAGATACCTTGGCAGGGCTTGCTGCATGCTTGCCACGGCCCATGACTGTTCCAGTAAAATTGTTGAGGTTTGTCCTCAATTGGAATATTGAATGAGTACCGCACATCTGGGTTATACAATTTTCCCACGGACAACACCTGTAATGTGTGGAGAGGTTGGGGAGAAGTCTGCTGGCCTGCAGTGCCAAGAGGAGAGAGAGAGCCACTGGCCACCAGCCGAGTGTTTACCTGAAGGAGAAGTTCTTCCTCGATCCGGTCCGTACAGTTCAGTCTTTCCACCACATTGTCAGATCCGCTGTACTCAATGACGGCACTTCCCACTCGGACCTCCCTTTTAGACATGGAGACAACAAAGTCTCCATTTAGCAGGAATTCACCTTTACTGTTTGATAAAGCTGCAGACAGGAAAAGAGAATTGGGTGAGGTGCTGCCAGTGACCAGCTGTATTGAAAAATAAATAAATGAATAAATGAATAAATAAATAAATAAATAAGAACACCCTGATTGGCAGGCAGGTTTCTGGCAGAAGAGAAGACTTGATGCTTGTCAGCCAGGACATGATTCCACAGTCTTGGTTTCCATGTGACCTTGGGTGATCAATCCTTCTTGGTCTCAGTTTCTTTATTTATAGAGATAAAGAAAACCACCTACCTACTATGCTTTCTACATAAACTAAGAGAAATATGATATAGAAGTCCTCAGTAGCCTGAAGTTAATCATACAACAGCAACAGTTGCAGGATTATAGACAGAGGCTGAAGTATTAAGATCTGATATACACATATGCCACTATATCAGACAACAGCAAAAGAAGAAAAACCTTATATTTTAGTGGGCTAAATTCCCCATTTCTCACTCTGGCCTCAAACTTGCAACATCGCCCCAGCCTTTGCCTCCTGAGTGGTGGAGATCAAGGCAGTAGCCACAATGCCTGGTATAATCAGAAATTCTCTCTAAAATGACTGCATTTCAATTTGCCATTGAACTGAGTCCTAAGAACACAAAACCTTCAACCACCTGGTTTGACTGGGCAACTTATGTCAAAATATCTCTGTGGATCACTTTACTTTCCATTACAACAGCCAGGGCACGATCGAAATTAAAACATAATTTGGTTAGATAGGAGGGAGATATTTTCAAGTTTTTAGATTAATTTTCTAAAGATGAAAATCTCAGTGTGGGGTAGCAAGGTGGCTCAGCAGGTAAAGACACCTACTGCCAAGCCTTACAAACTGAGTTCAATCCCCAGGACCTGCATAGAAGGAGAAAACTTGTTCCCTCAAGTTGTCCTCTGACCTTCCTATACACACAGTAACACATGCATATCACTTCAATCAAATAAATAAAATGTTAAAAACGTATATTTTTTAAAACCTGATAAGATCAATTTTCTTTAACACTTGTCATACAATTTTGGCTGCATTATAAGCCTGTCTTCTACACCTGTATCCCGTTCCCACATGGCCAGCCATTCCACTTGTAACAAGCAGCTTGTAATGTACTACTTACCACACCTCTGTGAGACTGCTCTGTTACACATGTCACACATTGGTAGATACGGATGTACAAACAAGAAAAGTATGATTTAACCAATCAGTAACTTCATTTACCAAGGCCAGCCAGCTTCTAACCAGCTTCTAATCTGTCTCCACAGCTTGTGAGACACGAAAATTGTCCAAGAAGAGAGCCAGCAAACATTTGTCAAGTAGGCAAATTCACTCACTCATTCATTCTTTCTCTTGTTTACAAATAGAACCGAGATATGGTTAGGCTAAGCTCTTTAACACTGTGGCGTGTTTTGTTACCCTGTAGGAACCTTTTCATACAGTTAAAACCACTTTACAGTTCACCTCTATAAACCCTAAGATCCCAACCCTTAGTAGGCCAGCGAAAGATGCTGCTAAGATGAACGAGTGACTGAAGCTGACACCCTGGAGAGGAGAACAGAGCACTTCCATCCTGATGCTTATTTCCCTATCTGGTTCAAACCTCAGAAAACCCCACCTTACTTACTCTTAGCTCTGGATGCTGACGACCAGCCAGCCAAGTGAGATGTGTGTTTCCAATGGGTCACAGAGAAATGTGATTGTTCCCTTGGCACCACAGGGTGGTTCCAAAGCAGGTCACTTGTACATGATAGCATGATGTGTGGTCAACACCGTCATAAGTCACATGCTAGCTATCCCAAACAGGGCAGTGAAATGTCATGTGCCAGAGTTATAAATTGAACATCAATCTGGCTTTGTTTGCAAAGAACATGGTGTCTTCTGTTTTAAGCCTCAAGTCTCTTCCCATGGCTTCAGCTGCTTCTCTTGCTTCTAACAGAACTGAGGGAGAAGGCCACTCCTCACTACCTGTTTCTTATGCCAGTTAGTAGTGAGTGCACAATGAGAGAAGACCTCAAATGATGTAAAACCCTTCTCATGATTTGTTCCTATAAATGGTATGCCCGCACACTTCTGTAAAGGTATTAATAAAGTGAAACTCTGGCTTTCTCTTGTACTGCATGGCTGAGTGATTTCCCACAGCCAGAATTAATCCAGGGCTAAGCATCCCAGAGGCAAATAAGTATCACAAAAAATGGTCACATCTCCTGAAGAGAGAGGAACAAGGCATGGGCCGTACAACATGGTTTTAACCCAACAAGAGGGATCCCCGTGGAAGGTGACCTTTGACTGGCAGGCTTTCTGCTTCAGTACCTCAAGAAACAAACCATTTTCCCAAATCCAGAGTCCCCTGCTCCAGTTCCTGCTAATGAGATTAGGGAAGCTAATTTCCTGAGTTGCTGTCCCTCCTGCCATCAGAACTAGGGTGGTGCAGAGGTTCCACTAGAAAAGAATTCTCCCTCAAAACACACAGTGAGAGTGCGAGACTTGACCAATCTTTACATAGCTATTGGGAATAAGGATGAAGGTTGCTTAGCAACAAGACACAATAACTGAGCTCAGCAAAACAGGGTGGTGGGCTGTAAAGTACCTAAAGGGATCTGCTAACAGCACCTTGCTTCAAGCTAAGGGTAAATATGCACACACTCCAGCCTGTGTGACACCAGATCCTCCTTACAAACCAGATCTTCTTGAACCATTGTGAAGCTCTCTCAGAGACCTGTTTTCACACTCAGTGGGCTGTGACTTGTCATCAATGCTTGCACACTCCACATTTGCTTTCAGAGGGGCTTCCCTTGGGCGGAGCAGTGGCTTCCCCATACTGCCCGTTCCTGATGACCAGTCCCCTTTAACTTTCTTCTTATTCTTTCATGGGGAGATTAAGAAATGCCCAGTAAAGAAGAAAAGATTGTCAGCAGACTCCACTTGAGGTCAGCCACCTCACATGTGCTTATTACAATCAACAGAACCGAGGCGGACAGCACTTGGGCAGAGGTTATTTTCCCAAGGAAAATAGAAGAGAAATTTCCTCCTTCGGAACAGAGGGACAGAAGGATTCAACATGGTTTTAGGCTCTCAAGAAATTAATTTATAAGGGATACTTCATGGCATGCTCTTTAACTTAATTAGGATAAACTCAGAACATAAAAACTACTACAAGCTCAGATTTATAACTAAGTATGTGTGTGTGTGGGGTGGGGTGGGGTGGGGTGGAAATGCCTGACATATTTTGAGCAATTATAGGATGCGAAATGTGGGATTCCCCAAAAGTAACTTGAAGGTGGTTTCCAGAAGCCTGTTAATTATCTTATTTTAAGTCATGCATGTGTGAGTACGTGTATGTTCCTGTGCATATGCATGTTTGCATATCTGTCTGTGTGGCTCAGAACCTAGGCCCAATAAATGTTTGATTGTAAACCCATGCTTCATAATTGAGCTACAGTCCAGTCCTGTTCATTTTCTTGTAAAGCTACCACTTGGTGTTAAAAAACAGATGCAGCTGTTTAGTAATTAGTTACAAATAAGGCTTTATAGCCTATTGAAAAAGATGAACCTCTATCTTCAGGAGAATTTCGTTTTCTATGAAGCACTATCAATGGCTGTTTAGCAATTCAGCAAGTACTTAGGGCTTTTCATATGCACATTGCATCAGATGCTAAAGATGCAGGCAACAGCTCTGACCTTAAATCACTAGAATTGTGTGGATGAATAAGTAACAAGTCCTATCTCCGTGATAGTAACGGCCTCCTCCTCGTTGCTTAGATCCAAACCTGAGAATTTTTCCCTCCTTTGACACTAACACAGCTCTGACCTTTGTCTTTCTCTCTCTTTTTCCTTTCTCACTCCTTCTTTCATTTTTTTTCTTTTTCTGAGTGAGTCTCATGTAGCCCAGGCTAGCCTTAAACTCACTATGTAATTGAAGTAACCTTGAAATTCTGATCCCCTTGACTGTGTTTCCTGAGTGCTGGAATTACAGTGCCTGCCATCTTGTTCTGTTCATAGACTTCAAAGAACTAAACCCAGGGACAACAACCCCTGGCCCTTCTTTCCCCCTCCTACACCACACTCAATCCATCAACAAATCAAGAGAGCTCCAAACTGAAGATGGATATGGACCCCTACCACTCAGCATCGCCTCCATGCTCCTCACTGAGGCCAAGCCAGCTGCATTCCTCTTCAGAGCATCTTTCTCTTTATTCTTTATTCCTCCTTTTTAATTTTCGAGACAATCTCTTCCTATGTAGCCCAGAATGGCCTCATATTCACACCATCCTGCCTCAGCCTTCTCTGTACTGGAGTTAAGGTCCATACTACCATGTTAAAAGTTCTTGATACAACTTCCTAACCAGAGATGCTCAAGATAACACCCCAACATTCCTCTGAAAACATCCAGCAGCAGCAGCAGCAGCAGCAGCAGCAGCAGCAGCAGCAGCAGTAGCAGCAGCAGCAGCTCAAAACCACCAACAGCTTCCTGTGCCCCTTAGAGTTTACAACAAGGTCCTTACAATAGTTACACGGTTCAAAATGATGACTTCGTAAAACCATTTAGCTCTAAGATTCTCCCCTTGCATTCGGCATCAGGCACACAGACCTCCATCTGCTCTTTACAGAGTTTGACTTCAAAGACTTTGCACATAGAGGCTGGGAACGATGAGTCAGAACGATGGATGCACAACCATTGAGGAAAGGAATACAACCACCCCACCCCCACCCAAATGTGTGTGCCTCTACAGGCTTGTAAGCCCAGGTGATATGGTTGCCAGACAAAGAGAGATCATTTGCTGGCCCTCAGGCTAGCCCCGGGTTCATTAAGAGTACTGATAAGAGTAATAAGAGAGATAGAGCAGGGTAGGTGATACGATCTGTGCACATGCACACACACACATTCCACCACCATCTCCACACACACATACCCAAAGCCTTTGCAGAGACGCCCTCCCTCTACAACAACTTTCTTTAATGGTCTGTCCCTATGCTGTAAATGTTTCGTCTCCACCTTATCCTTGGAATCCATTTTTCTGGGTGCTGCTTGGATTTCTAATACCATTTATCACCTTCTTCCAGTATGGACCATGCTTATTAGGTTTCTGCTTATTGTCTTTCTTGACCCATGAGAAGAAGGCTTTAAGACAAGTTTCGTGATTTGAATCTGTTTTGTTGTGTTGAAAGCAATGCTGGTACACAATAAGCAAGTGAATACAGGACGGTGACACAGCAGAAAAGACCCCAGCAGAGTCACACATAATATAGCATGACTAGCATGCCTGGCTATGCACATATGAGCTCCTACAGACATTTCAAAATACATACGTAAGTTCTCGTTTGATTCAACAAATATTCGTTAGCATGTCTGAATGCTTAGAGCAGACCTCTATAGGCTTCTCTCAAATGGACAAATAGAATTCCTGCCAGCACATTCTAGGAGAAACAGTAAATCAATTTCTTTTTTTAAACAAGGACTACTCAGCAAGACAGCTTTGATTTCTTCTAGAGCCAAGTACCAGTTATATAAGGTCAAGCCCCAAGGCCCGAGGAACCTAGTTGCACGAGGTGACCTGCCAAATCCCTTTCTGTCACTCCACTCTTCCTGTTCTTCCCTTTTTGCAGTGGGCAAATCTCATAATTACATAAGGTGATCTGAAGAGCAAGAAGTTGATCTGGGTTGGAAGGCTGCTAAAAAAAATCAACAGAGGTCTTTGATGTGTTTTGGTTTTAAAAATGAGGAATATGTATGGACTACTTATGTGGTCAAGTACAAGAAAATACGTAAAATAACATGTGTGAGAGAAAAAAATTGAAAAACCTATAACATAGGCTGATTTCTATAATGATGGCTTAAAGAATGCATGTCATGATAGACTCTTTTGGCAAGGAGAAATGGAGATACATACCAGGATTAATAAAATATGGAATAGGCCTAAAAAGAGTCTGTTCCTGGTTAGAGCGGATAACATAAAAATGAAGTCAAATTATGCTTCTAAGAAAACATGCTCTATGATATCTACACTAAAGTCAGGGTATTTATAAGTTCTGGAGCAAAGCCCTTGCTATTGAACACCACAACAACATAACCCTTGAGTCAGTAGTCTGAGGGCGTATTCAGGAGAAAAAATAAAATAGTGGACTTCAAGATCATCTTCTTTATGGAAGGAAGCTTGCAGTGTGAAACAGAGGAAAGAAGTAGTGAGTGCCCTCTGCTCCAGAAGGAGACTCAGAATTCCTGTGCTCTTACCTAGGTAGTTGTCATCCTCAGACTTCCCTGAGAAGCTGTGCTGCCGTACATCAATGCTGGTAGCACCAGCTGGAATTCGGACCACAGTATTGTAACCTGCAAAGAATTTGGCAGACAATCAGTATTCTGCTGAACATTACATATCCTCCAAGGACAGAGGAATAAAAGGCAGGCAACAAAGAACAAAGACAATTACCACTATGAGACACTTTATAGCCAGATTAATAATATACCACAGCAAGGCTGAATTTGTCCTTCACAGTAATACTTTCTGTATTATATGAAGTTAACAATTTATGTTGAAATGTTTCCTTCCCACCGATTCGTAGGAGCAGATTCTTACCATAATGGACTGTGTTAAAGGTTCCTGCCACTGTTTTGCATGAAGAATTATCACCACCACAAATCCCACATTTATCTTTCCGGGCCTTTGAGTTTAAAATATGATCACATCCAGCTTGCTTTTTAAAAGAAAACAATTGAAATAAGTGGTAAGTACTATAGAGATCATCAAATGGCAAGTCATGCATTCCTGTCAGTGACAGGAGTCCACAAATGACAAAGAAGCCATCAGCTTTAAAACTTGCAAAGGTTGGGAACTCAAATTGTCCTCAGTTCACAATTTAAGATGTGGTCATTGAACCCACAGTCACCTAACAGCCTGGATGCTGAAGATGTAGTGAACCCCTAGACCAGTGGTTCTTAACCTATGAGTCACAACCCCTTTGGGGTCTACAGACCTTTTCATAGAGATCACCTAAGACCATCAGAAAACATAGGTATTCACATTATGGTTCCTAACAGTAGTTAAACTACAGTTACGAAGTAGCAACAAAATACAAATTTATATTTGGGAGTCACCAAAACATGAGGAACTGTATTAAAAGGTCACATCATTAGGAAAGGTCAGAAGCACTGCACTAGGCCCTCCTCTCTAGTGAGTCAGAACCAGGATTTCAACCAGTTTTACCAGGTGCTTCATGTACAGATTAAAGTCAGAGACATAATGATCTGTGCAAAAGCAGAGTAAATGAGAAAAACTGCCCAGCAACGAAAGCTAAAGGAGAACAGCAATGCTGGTGTCACACCCGAGAACTGCACAGCCTAAGGGACAAATCAAATCACTCCCTGCTGGATCCTGCTGATGTTTAGAATTTCAACATGGCGATGTTCCAAATTATCAGGAGACATTGGGTGTCTGTTTTGCTGTGCAATCTGCAAGGTTGAAATATTTTCTCTGCGTACCTGGCAAAGTATGACAGGGCAATCTGTTTCCCTAGCAAAGCAATGAAATGGTGTGCGCTGAGCTCCAGGGACGACCCTGGCCAATCCAGGGAGGATCTTGGCAACAGCCAAGACTGCAGGAGAAGAGAGACTTCTCATGTCTTGTTCCTTAGTGCATATTTGTCTTTGAGAAGCTCAGTGCTTTGCAATTGAGTGGAATGACAAAAGAGCCAGTGCAAGCTGAGGGGTAGGCAAACCTCTTAGGTATTCTCTCTTCTTAAATATTTAATTTTATGCATGCAAATGTTTTGCTTGCATATGTATGTGAACCACATGCATGCCTGCTGTTGTCTTCAGAGGTCAGAAGAAAATATCAGATCCTCTTGGAACTGAGTTTAGGGGATGGCTGTCAAATGTCATGCAGGTGCTGGGAACCCTACACAAGTCTCTACAAGAGCAGCTAGTATTCTTAACCATTGAACTATCTCTCTGGCCCCTTAGGTGAGCTTTCTTTTCTTTTCTTTTTTTTCGAGACAGATTTTCTCTTTATAGCCCGGGCTGTCCTGGAACTCACTCTGTAGACCAGGCTGGCCTCAAACTCAGAAATCCGCCTGCCTCTACCTCCCAAGTGCTGGGATTAAAGGTGTGTGCCACCACAGCCCAGTCTTTTTTTTTTTTTTTAATTATTTATTTCATGTATGAGTACATGCTGTCTTCAGACACACCAGAAGACGGCATCAGATCCCATTACAGATGGTTGTGAGCCAACATGTAGTTGCTGGGAATTGAACTCAGGACCTTTGGAAGAGCAGCCAGTGCTCTTAACCACTGAGCCATCTCTCCAGCCCCTAGGTGACCTTTCAATCAAATCTGATCCACTAGTAACTCTGATTGGCTCATGGGCCACCTACAGTGAACACTTTCATCAGTTTAGAGCTTGGCTGAGCTATCAATGACTTTTGATTAGTGAAAACACAAGATAGTGGCATGCCCTGAGACATCAGACTCTTTGCACATTGCCATGGGTTTCTCAGCTCACTTTCCAACACTAATGGACCAGCATGGTTTGGGTGAGGCAATTGTAGTTAAAATGACAGAGACATCTGGAAGAGGCTAGATTCTCCTCCTTCCATTGTTCTGAAATACAGGCAATTCAATCAAGAAACACTTCTGTTAGGAAGCTCTTGGGGTTTTAACTTCGAGCACTCAGTTATGGTGTGTGTGTGTGTGTGTGTGTGTGTGTGTGTGTGTGTGTGTGCAAGGAAGTTCTTGGGTTTAACCTTAATCACTCAGTTATGGTAAAGGTGTGTGTATGTAAATTAGTATAATAAATATTCAGGAAGAACTTTTGCATAGATTGTCATAGAGACTGAAAGCATCAAGAAAACTCTAGAATAGTGTTTCTCAAATTTTGGTACAACATGCATCAGAATCATATGATGAAGACAGAACGGCATCCATGGACTACACCTGGAGAAACACTGCCTAAGAGCTAGTCACAGATAAAAGCAGCTGTCATTCTATTAAGGAAGCCACAAATCAATTTGGTAACGGGACGTTCGATGAAGAAAATGTCACATGGACTCACCCGGCAAAGGCCTTGGACACAGATGTCATTTGTGTCTTGGCCACAGGGGGTTCCATCAATCACTCTGTCTCGGAGCTGGTAGTAGGCTGTATTTCCTGCCACTCTGCAGAACAACTTGCATCGGTCCTTCATCAAAACTAGAGAGGAAGATCGTGATGCAATGTGACTTCCATGCCTGGACCGAATGCCGGCCTGTCAAGCCACATGCTCCAGCCCCAGTACACTTACTTCCACTGTACTTAGGGACCCAGCGTACACTGGGAAGCAGACCATTGATGTTGAAGTGCTTGCCATCAAAGTGAGCACACTGCTCCTCACGGAAGTCTCGCTTCTGCTTCTGGCAGGGCTCAGTGTTGCAGGATTTGAACTTCATTCTCCTCCCTACACAGTACTTCCCACCATTTTTTGGCCTGAGAAAATGGAAAACAACAGACACAATGTATTGGAAAGTATGTCCCTACTCTTTATGACTTCAAGTATGATTTGCTGGGTCTTAAGGAAACAACTTTGAGTTAGCAAATGACAGAAGACGAAATCACTTGAGCACTTGAAAACCTACCTGAAGCTGTTGGGCCAATATTTTTAGTTTGTAACATTTGTGTTCTGTGTCCCTGTCCATGGATCCACAAGGCTACCCCACCCTTGCATCCCACAGAAGATTCTCTAACCTATTCATCATGTTGGGGTCCCATCTTGCCCTCAACACAGAGTACTTATCTGTGAACTCAAAGCACTCTATTGGGTGACTTCTACTTCAAGTCTCTGGACTGCCCCCAAGGGCCGCTGCATCCTTACTGTGTTGGGGCTGGATTCACCACAGTGATCATCTCCAGAGACTTCTTGGACAACCCTGGGCCACTCATCTACTCAGGGATCAGAGTTCCCAAGTCTTCCAGCTTGATTCAGCTCATTTTAAGAAAAATACTGACCACTAATTCTGTGAAAATAATCCAGTGGTTTATCTCTGCAGAACAGCTGCTTGTGGCAACCTTGTATATCCCAGGCCCCTTGTCCATGAGACCAATTGGCCTCCCCACCTCTGTCCCCTGCAGGAGGTCCTCCTCCCCCAGTAAGGACATGGCTCCAGATTCAGGTTTGCACTCTGTAGCCCTTCAACTCCAGCTTTGCTCAAGTGTCAACATAAGTAAATCAGTCAAACACTGCCTGGCACTTAAAACTGTGAAATGGGGTGTGGCTAGTTTATGTGTGGGTTTTGTGGTTGTTTTCTTTGAGAGTAGATTTTTAGACTATACCAGGCTGTCCTAAAACTCCCTATGGAGCTGAGGATGACCTTGAACTCCCAATCCTCCTATCCCACAGCTCCAGAATGGTGGAGTTACAAGCATACATCACCAGACTTAGATTTTTGTAATCCTGTTTTGAGGATAGTATGTCAAGCATGAAACAAAACACCCGAGGTTGGTTTTGTTCCCTTCTCCCAAGTGACTATAGTCCTTTAACTGTAAGAATTTTGTAGAAAAAGGTAGTGCTGCCATTGTTTCTAGTTGGTCCTCTACCTTGACTCCCTGACAGGCGACCACAGGAACACACCATCTTCCGCTGCTTGTCATTTTGTCCTTCCCCATCTACTTTCCAACAACTCTTCTTTTAGAACAGCATACATCCCATATGTTCACCTTTGACCCACTTCATAGGAGGAGGAGAAAGCACCCTAGCTTCCTTACCTCTGTGCCCCTCAAATAGGCACACTTTTGTGACACTCCAATTTACTCTCTGCATGAAACTTTGCACATGTCTTTTCCAGATGTGACCCAGAGTATAAGTTACACAACTCCCCTGTCCACAGCTATCAGCAGCTGGCCAAATTCATCTGAGAGGTAGGGGAGGTCTCAGAACCCTTGAACAGCTCAGAACACACAACTATCTCAAAACACCATGGCGCTCCAAGAAAAAGTTTACAGTTTTTGTGTCTCAGTGAATTTTTCGGAGTAATCCTAACTGTAAGAATTGAATTTTGAAGGGGAAAAACAAACAAACAAACAAACAAAAAACAGGTTTTGTTCTGTTTTTCAAGCAGAGGTTTTAGGGGCTGGGAGACACATCATGACCATAGCTAGGCGGGAGGAGGCTGTAGGTGGTAAGGCTGGTTCTGGCTTCCAGTCTTCCCCCCTCCTTACCGTGCCCTGAGCTCCAGTTTCCCCCTTTAACACATGTCTTCAATCCCAGCACTGCATATCAAACTCAGTCTGTGACTTTGTTTTTTTGTGTAAAAGCAGATTATAATTTCCTCCTTACCTCTGCATATGGCTTTAATGAATGCAAATGTGCCCTTTTGAACTGTATGTCTCCTAGACAATGTGCTTCCTATCAGATTTGTGTGTACCGTATAATATGGAAATCTATAACCATAAACCTTTCAGAATGGAAAAAATTAATCTCATAATTAAAAAATTTGTTTGGCTACTACTATTTTTTTCCCCGATGGAGGCAAATACTGAAACTATAGGAAATTCAGCTTTGAAAATACCATTAGCTGTATCTCCTAGTTAAAAAGGTCTTTCAAGGTTACTTTGTGCCAAATAGAAATTGAAAGGACTTTGGGAAACTGGGAGATTAATTATCCCTCTGTACCGGCAGGCTTGGGTCATTCATTCAGTGTTACACAACCCAACCTGTTAAATTTGGGATCATACACCCTCAAGGTTAGGAAGGAGTTTTTGTAAACACTATTGCAGGTGCATCCTACTCTTAAAGACAGCTGAGTTTTTGTCAACAAATTGGATGGAACAAAAATATCAACTGCTTTGTATATTTATATGAATTAGGGTAATCAGATTTGGGTTAGCCCAAGAAATATTCTCCTGAAATAATGAAGCTGGTTCCTATGCTTCCAGCCTATCAGCAGAAGCTGATGGCTAATCGAGAACTCCTGTTCCAGAGTTAGACAGGAAGTTAGAGGTTTCAATCGACCTTGACTGCTCCTTTCTGATGGGGTACGCTATGGAACTGATGTCTGTATTGCTTCATTAGTTAATGGATCTTCCATCATAACCAGTTCATTCTAATCAATGCTTCAAAACCTGGAGGGTGACAATTACTAAACTTCGTGGGTTCTTGCCACCCAGTCTGACAATCTGAATTTGATTCCTGATGTAAGACCAGAATGGATGCCGTCAGGTCATTCTCTGACCCCCACATATGTGCTGTGGCATCCACGGGCATAAGTGTGCAAGCACACAAGAATACTTATGTAAAGGAACTTAAGCCTGTGTGTTGCATCTGTACTGACAAAAATAACATTTAGAATTTATTTTTTGTAATGAAACATACGAGTCCTGATTTTTAAAAGTAAGATTTTTATAAGAAGTTACTATGAAAAGAGCCCTAGAAGGAAATAGCAAGTTCATCTTCTTTTCAAATTGACAGATTTGAAATTTCATTGTAATTTTTAAATTTAAACTATGTTTTAATTTAAAAGCAAAATAGAAGCACCCAGAAAGAATAATTATCTGACTTTTAAAACTAGACTTTTGTTCTGATTTGTTTCTCTTTCCTATTTTCCTATTTTCTATTTGTTTCTCTTTTCCTATTTCCTATTTTCCTGTTTCCTATCAACCGATTCTGGATAGGTTCTTTTTCCTGCCATCAGGAATCCCTGAGCCAAATAAAATAACAAGACAATGATCCTCAAGACTGATGGTGTCTCTTCTTGCCCCAGTTAATGCTGGATGCACCAACTTGTGATTTCTCTTCTCACTCTGAGCATGCTGTCCCACATTCTAGGGTTCAATGACATAGCCTGATCATTAAGAACAGCCAAGGCAAAAGCATCAATAGTTTGGCATAGCAGAATATCTGGAAAGGAAATGAATACCAGGGAATTAAAGTGCCTTGGGTACCATGGGCCTCCCAGCCCTTGAAGGCCACCAGCTCTCTCTCCTCAGCCCCCCAGCAGAAGAATTCCTTTTCCACAAGGGATGACAGCAATCCATTCTAGAACTTACTCTGGTCTGTTGCACTCTCTGATGGCTGTTTTGATGCCTCCTCCACACGTTCTTGAGCAGGTCCCAAAGTGACTCCAACTTCCCCAGGATCCATCTATTGCAGGGCCCTCCATTTCTTTGGGAACACAAAATCCGAACTTGCAGTGCTGCATTTAATAAAGGAAACAGTGAGGGAGAGCTTGGGGCTGTGAGACATCCTAGGACCAGCTGTACACCAAACACATCACACTTTTAAGTCCCCCCCCCATGTGCTGGTTTGAAACACTGCAAATTTGCTATTTCTATGTGTAATTGATATTGCAGGCATTTTAATATCCTGTTCATTGATTTTTAGGTAGTGTTTGCATTTACAGCTTGCTCTAAAAATTACAAGCCAGTGAGTGGCTCTATGGTGAATGGGTAGCTCTAATGGCCAGCTTTAAACTGCTCAATTAATCTGTGTACTTGGAAAAATAAGGAGTGGAAATGGGGCACAGACAGCAGAGCTGGGCCAATAATGAATTTGCAGAATCTACTAGCAAGTCTTCGAGACTCCACAATCTCGATAAAATCGAAAGCTTTATTAATAGTACTGATTTGAAAACCCCAATTTTGATTACAGCAGGGGAGGGAGAGTTAGCTACTTAATTCTTCTGAACCCACTTCCACAAAAGCACTTAGACTAAAGGAAAGGGGTCGATTACAGAGAGTCCTAAACTTTATTACATTTTTTTTTCCTCTTGTCCTGGTGATTTCAGACTCTCCAGCCTGGAGCAGGAAGAGGCCTGTGATGTTAAAAATAATGATAATAATAAAAACACAATAAAACTCCCCAGCAAGACAAAGAGTGGAGGAGCCCACTTCAACTCCCTGCTTTTGTTCATGTGTGACATAATGACCAGGCAACTGAGCTGGAGACAAAAGAAGAGGCAGTAGCCATAGCCACAGGGGGGTGATTCCTGTGGCTCTCTTGAACCTCTGAAGTGGAGCTGGACTGTTGTGATGTCTCTGTGGGGGAGGGAAAGGGAGAAGTGATGGGTAGAAGGAGGAGGCCTCAGTGGTTTGTAGAGGTAAACAAGAGACAGGAAAAGGACACAGAAGAATGATCCCTCCTAGGAAAGGAAGGTGTGATGGGGAATGGAAGAGTACACTCTTGGGCTATCCTTGCCTCTTCCTCTGTAACCATCTTCTCAAGGCATTTGAGGAAGGGCTATCTGACATAATGCTGAAAACCTGGCTCAGATCTTCAGTAAGAACAATATAGCCTCTATACCACTGAGTCATATCTCCAGCCATGAGGTGATTTGTTTTTCTTCCGTTGTTTTGAAGACAGTCTTTACTAGTCTGAAACTATGTTTCTCTATGCTACCCTTGAACTCACAGAGATACACTTGCTGATGTTCTAGTATTAAAAATATGCACTATCATGTCCAGACTATAAAATTTTTTATTCTCTCCATAACTTGTCTCTAGATCCTGCTTTGCTCATAAGTAGCATCACAGATCACAGTGACCCTTCAAATGCTCAAGAGGCCACATGTGGTTGGTGGCTGTCCTGGGTTGCATGAGAAAGTAGGTTGAATAAGTTCTGGGGAGCAAGCAAATAAACAGCACTCCTCCATGGTCTCTGCTTCAGTTCCTGCCTCCAGTCTTCTTCCTTGGCTTCTCTCAGTGAAGGAGTGTGATCTGAACCTGTGAGCCAAATTAAATCCTTCTTTCCCCAAGTCACTTTTGCCATGGTGTTTTATCATGACAACAGAAAGCTAGGACAACAATCAAGAATTAAATGGCTAGTGGATTGAGTTGAGATCAGATCAGACTTGGATGTATGCATACACACACACACACACACTAGTATGTGTCTCTGTGTGAGCACGTAGTAGTATTCGTATGTGCCTATGTATGCATGTACAGAGGCCATAAGAGGAAGTGGGTGTCCTCCTGTTTTACTCGCTATCATATTCTTTTTGAGACAGTGTCTCTTGTTCATCCTGGAGCCAGGCTGATTCCCAGCAAGCCCAGGTGATCCTCCTATCTTTTCCTGTAATTCCTGTTGCAGGCCTGTGTAGGGCCATGCATAGCTGGTTACATGACTTCTGCAACTTGATCCCAGGTTCTCAAGCTTGCACTGGAAGCACTGCTACCCACTGAGTCATCTTCTGTCTCAGCCTTTCTTAGGTTCATACGATATTTTCCACACATGCACCTTTCTAAGAGGTCAAGTCTGTTCAGGTCATGTTTGTTCTAAGTCTTAAAAGAAGAGAGTTTCAAACTTCAGGCTCACAAACAGGATTGAAATGAAAATGTTTGTGGGCTTAACAAAGAGAACAGAGAAAATAAAGAGACATTAGTAGTGAGCCATTCATTAAAATAACATTGTAGTAGAAATCTTGCTCAAAATAGATTACTGCTGAGTCAGCAGGGCAGAAAGAAAGGAAGGGGAAGGGGAAGGGCCTGGACAAAAAGCAAGAATGAGATGGGGAAAAGAAATACACTGTCTAATCTGAGCAATCAACATGAAACAAACAAACAAAATAATCACAACTTCTGTGCCAACATAAACATCTCCTCTGGCATCTACAAAATGTATACAGATTTCAAACATTATGAAGAGTATCGATGTCTATATCAATCTCTCTGTCTTTATCTCTACATCTGTCTCTCTTTGATAAGAGCCAATAGACCTGACCAAACTTCTAAAACACAATTAAGAGTGTAACTTATTTTCTCTGCACAGCCATTTTTCTAAAATGGGTTGACACTGGTCTGTACCTATTCTGTGGAAGGCTTGGACTCCATTCTCTAGCTGAATTCATGAACCATTGAAGACAAAGTCTTCTGGAAGGTTGCCTAAGAGCACACCCCCCCCTCCACTCCATCAGAAGCTATGAGAATGTCCTGAACTCCTTTCTCTTCTGATTGGCTGCAAAAATAGAAGCTGAAAACCTGGCACATCAGACCTCCTCTAAGGCCGTGGTCTAGAATTTGTGGGAAACCATGAAACTGCATGGAGCTTGGGAGTCCCTTCATGATGATTTCACTAAATACAAGTCAATTCATCATAGTCTTGGAAGTGTTCTTAGTTGTGATTTTCTCAGCAGTAGCATGTGTCAGAAACAGACACAGTGAGTGAGTGCATCAGAAGACAGATGAGGAACCACAATATAACAGCCCATGATTTTGCTGAGATCAGTCAGTCTTAGTGATCTGGGCTGACTCTACCCTAATCAAGGAAGCACGTTGTCAGGTAGGAATCATGCTTATGTTATTTACTGTCAACTGGTAGCAGACCCTGTGTTTAGAAGAACTTAGAAATCACATCTTAATTGTGTAAGAATTAGTGTCATATTCAATTTTTAAGGACCACTATGGAAATCCTGAAAAGTACATTCCCACACAACCTGTGATCCTGCACCCACTGACACACTAAGTTTTGTTTGATTCACTTATTTGTTTTACATGTATTGGTGATTTGTCCACATATGTCTGTATATCACATGCATAAGATTACAGACAATAGTGAGCTGCCATGTAGGTGCTGGGAATTGAACCTGAGTCTTCTGAAAGAGTAGTCAGTGCTCTCAACAACTAAGCCATCTCTCCACCCAGACATACTAAGGTAAACGCTCCACAAGAAATTCAAAATTGTCCCTGAGTAGCCTGTTATCCCAGGTGAACCTCCATTCTCCCACCACCACTCTGCCCATCTTCATTAGACTTGTGCATCTGGAACCATACAGCCAAAGGATACCCATCAGAGGCCTGCCATACCAGGTCATTGAGGTTAGCCCCTCTCTCAATACCTACTACAACAGGAAACATCCAGGACCAAAGCCATCCAGATGGCTAAAGGCCCTGTAAAGAATACAATCAACAATATGACACCTTTAGAGCACAGCTACCCTACTAAAGCAAGCCCTGGCTAGTCTAACACAACTGAAGCACATGAATCCTTAAATCCAATCTTATAAAGATGATAGAAGCTTTTGTTGTTGTTGTTTTTTCGAGACAGGGTTTCTGTGTGTAGTTCTGGCTGTCCTGGAACTCACTCTGTAGACCAGGCTGGCCTCGAACTCAGAAATCCACCTGCCTCTGCCTCCCAAATGCTGGGATTAAAGGTGTGTACCACCACTGCCCGGTGATAGAGGCTTTTAAAGAGAAAATAAATAAATCACTTTAAAAAAATACAAGGAAACACAAACAAACAGGTGAAGGAAATAAATAAAACTGTTCAAGACCTGAAAACGGAAGTAGAAGCAATAAAGAAAACACATCTGAGGGAATCTTGGAGATGGAAAGCCTAGGAAAGAGAACAGGAACAGAGGTGATGGAAGAGAGAATCTCAGGCGTAGAAGATACAATAGAAGAAATTGATACATCAGTCAAAGAAAATGTTAAATTTAAAAAATTCATGACACATCTAGGAAATCTGGGATACCATGAAAAGACCTAACCTAAGAATAATAGGAGTAGAAAAAGGTGAAGAGTCCCAGTTCAAGGACCAGAAAATATATTCAACAAAATCATAGAAGAAAACATTCCCAATCTAAGAAAGAGATGCCTATAAACATACAAGAAGCTTATAGAATACAAATCAGGCTGGAGCAGTAAAAAAATTCTTCCGCCACGTAATAATCAAAACACCAAATCTACAGAACAATAAAAGAGTATCAAAAGCTGCGAAGGAAAAAGACCAGGTAACATACAAGGCAGACCTATCCTAGGGATGTGGGGGAGGGGGCATCTTGAGACATAAGAGAAATCTGAGATAAGGGAGGCACCCAAGAATCAATGCGCTGGAGATAAGGAACCTGAAGAGGCCACCTCCTGTAGCCAGGCAGGAACCCCAGTTGAGTGATAGGGACACCAACCCATCCACAAAACTTTTGACCCAAAATTTATCCTGTAAAGAAATGCAGGGAAAGGGGAATGGAACAGAGACCAAGAGAATGGCCAAGCAATAACCAGCCCAACTTGAGACCCATCCCATTGTCAAGTACCAATCCCTGGCACTATTAATGATACTCTGTTGTGTTTGCAGACAGGAGTCTAGTATAGTTGTCCTCTGAGAGGTTCCAAAGGGCAGCTGACTCAGAGACCCACAGCCAAATAGTGGATGGAGCTTGGGGATTCTTATGGAAGAGTTGGAGGAAGATCACAGGCTTCAAAGGAGATAGGAATTCCACAGGAAGACCAAGGAAGTCAACTATCCTGGACCCTTGGGGCTCTCAGAGACTGAACCACCAACATACAAGTATGTTCAGCATACAAGGGCTTGCCACTACATATGTAGCAGATGTATAGCTTGGTCTTCAGGTGGGTCCTGAACAACTGGAACGGGGGCTATCTCAAAAGCTGTTGCCTGTATGTGGTATATGATCTTTTATCTGGGCTGTCTTGTCTGGTCTCAGTGGGAGGAGGATGTGCCTAGCTCTGAAGAAACTTGGTGTGCCATGGTAGGGGTATAAGGGGGGGCAGCCAGGGGGTAGGCCTCCACCCTCTCAGAGGATTAGGGGAAGGGGAAGGGGAGAAGTATTGTGGAAGGGGGTGATCAGGAAGGGGGCACTGAGTGGGATGTAAAGTGAATAAATA